GACCAGTGTCCCAGTTTTCTCCATCCCGAATTTCCCTCAGGGTTCACTGTCAGGGCTGCTGCCCTGGCTGATGGTTTGACGGCAGCAACATTCTTTGTTTACTGAAGTGACAGGTGATACTTTTTTTGCTCACAGTACATGTAAAGCATTTTAGCACAGGGCCTGGCACATAGTAAGTCTTCATGAATGTAAACTGCTATAACCATTGTTTTCAGATTTTGTTACTGAAAAAGCTTATATGAACAGATATTAAATAAACTTTAAAAACAGGTTTTGATGAGGGCCATTCTAATGAGGTGGATGAACCTAGAACCTGTTATACAGAGTGAAGTGAGTCAGAAAGAGAAAGATAAATACCATATTCTAACACATATACGGAATCTAGAAAAATGGTACTCAAGAATTTATTTATAGGGCAACAGTGAAGAAACAGACATAGAGAATAGACTTATGGACATGGGGAGAGGAGAGGAGTGGGTGAGATGTATGGAAAGAGTAACATGGAAACTTACATTACCACCTATAAAATAGAAAGCCAAAAGGAATTTGCTGTATGGCAAAAAAAAAAAAAAGGTTTTGTAAGGGAGCTTCCCAACTTTGTTAAAAATATTTTGCTGCATGTGGTAAGGGACAGAGTTAAGAAATCAGAAGTATAAAATAATATTAAAGTATACTATTATAAAATAGGATTTCAAATGTTTCTACCTTATTAGAAATAGGACTCAGAGCCATATATGTGTGTATATATGAAAAACTTTGAACCTTTGACCATAAAATGCGTCTAACTCTTATTTACACTTGCTTGTGCTGTGATCTTAGTGCTAGGGGCTTGGTTGTGCAGTAACAGGCCATCTTCCTGTTGCCTTAGGGAACTGCATTGCATCGACTAGGTGACATGTTTTAATATTTCTGAGCCAAGGATTTTGGGATGTTAACATGCAGTATAGGATTTCAGGAAGCTGCTGCTTGCTACCCCTTAGTTTTGGGGTTTTTTAAAGATGTTTTTGATATGGACCATCTTTAAAGTCTTTATTGAATTCATTACAATATTGTTTCTTTTTTATGTTTTGGCTTTTTGGCCGCAAGGCATGTGGGATCTTATCTCCCCGATCAGGGGTTGGACCCACACCTGTTGCATTGGAAGGCAAAGTTTCAACCATTGGAGTGCCTGGGAAGCCCATACCACTTAGTTTTAAATTTGAATTGCAGCTGGATTTTCCTAGTGGGTTCTTTCCCTAGTTATAAGAGTCAGATGCTCTTAACCAAAGGAAGTCTTTTGCAAGGTATGTTTTTTAAACAAAAACCAGGGTGTGTATTCAGACGATTTGCTTGTAAGACCTGTCAACTGGGTAGAACACAGACTTCCTGAGCTTCATCCAAAAAAGGTGATTAGTAAAACTGTAAGGACGATCATCTCAAAAGATATCTGTAGGGATCAAGTAAAATGTAAACCATGATTTTGTAAATTTCAAAACATCACACAAAATATTAGCTACTTGTTATTTCTCTCATTTCTTTTGGCGGAACCAAAAGAATCCCAACTCTGGTCCCTACTCTGCCCTTTCCAGGACCTGCAACCTCAAGCAAGTAACTTAATCTCTTAAAGTATTTTAAATCTCTAAACTGCCTCTTGGACAGTTTTGTCATCTAGGAAACATTCTAAGATTACAAATCCTAGAATTTATAATCAGAGGAAACAAGTCAGATTGGAATAGGAAAGGATCAAAAAAGCAATCCTCTCTGAAGGGCCAGGGGAGATTAGGTCTTACTCTTCCCGGAGTGACCAGGAAAAGCATTCTAGGATGTGAAGGAAGAAAACAGGGAGCCATGAGGCATGGCCACTGATTTCTGGGATGTGGCAACAGCATCCAGGTCTGGTGGTGAGCAGTTATCTGAGAGAGGGGTGTGGCCAGCACTGGCCTAGATGGATGACCCACAGAAAGGGAAAAAGGAAAAAAAAAAAAGGAAATGGCACCACTACCTAAATCCAGTCCTTCGTGCATTCAGTCACTGTCCCCTGAGTAGTAGCATAGTCAGCTGTGATCTCCAGCGCTAAAAAGCAACCGAATGGTCCTGCAGACACACACCGGCGTGATACATGCACAAGGTAAAGGCCATCTCCCCATTGGTACCGAGGGAAACAGAACCAGGAGGGCGTTCAGATGGCCCCTCCAGAGTCAGACAGATAGGGAAGCTCTTCTGAGGATGCTCAGGGATATTATGGTGGATCCACAGAAACCATGGGAATAAGTGGTTTCAGGACAAATGCCACTGAAATTCCTACACTTGGACCCATGTTATCCACAAGGCTGTCTGCCTGCATGTGTTGAGAGGCCCAAATCCTTTTCCAAGATTCCTAGAAAATCTCAAATAAACTCAAGAAAGATAAGGATCACAGGCATCTCTAGGTTCTCAAAGGACTAGAGTCAGGAGAAGGCCTGGCTTGGAGGAGGGGGACTAGATTGAAAAGGAGGATCTCTTGACTCTGAGAGCAGCTGACACTTGGTGACGTCATCCTCTAGGAACGAAAATATGATAAAACCTGAGAGAAGGGTGGGTTCTCAGAAAAGGCTGAATGTTGTTTTAACAACAATCTTGTTCCTATCTGGCAGCATATGGAATCAGGCCAGGAAAGCTCCTCTGTGTAGAGTTCCATCCCCACCAATCAGGGGGCTCCTTCCCATGGCCAGCAGTAAAACCTCTCAATGCAAGTTTTTCTGCAAGATCCTATTCTAAGTGGGTCAAAGAGTCTCTAGTTTGGTTTATGTAAAGATCTAGTTGACGCAAAAGTTATCTTCTGAGATCTGACGAACAAACCTTCTAAACTCTTCCTTGTATGTGTCACAGTTGGCAGTGCATTTACCCTCCTAAGCTTTGTTATCCTTAGCTTTAACATGGAGATGGTAACAGCACCATCACAGAGCTTCTGTGAGAAATGAATGAGATGATGAATCTGCATCTCTTAGAACAGTGACTGGCACACAGGAAGGCCTCTTAAGTAATGACTAGTGTCCATGTACCCCTTGCAGTCAAGTGGCAGGAACTTGTATCCCTGGCTAATGGGTAAGGAAATAGGGACATGATCAGTTCAGGTAATAGAAGTCCAAATAGATACAGCTTCAGGTACAGTTTGATCCTGGGAACTATCCAGTGATAACACCAGGGCCTGCTTTCTCTCTCCACCTTTCAGCCCCTCTTCCTTTGAGTTGGCTGCAAGATTGCTTTGGCAGCAGTAGACCACGCATCATTGTAGAGCCAGTGAAGCAGAAGGAACCTGTCCACTCTCCCCCAAGCCCCAGGAGAGGTCTCTTCATACCTCTCTGGCTCTGGCTGGGTTACAGCACCTTCCCCGAGCCAACCACTGAAGCCAGGGAATGTACTGCCTATTTGCTAGAGACCCACCTACCTCCCACCTGGGGGCAGGGTCCATGCCTCCCAAACCTCATAGGCAGGGAGGAGGCAGGGAGGCTTGCCTCTCAGAGGGTCATCAGTGGTGCCAGAAGGGGAGCGATGGCCACTGACTGGGAAACTACAGAGAATCCATTGCACCCGCCCAACCGGAGGAGCAAAGTGACTTAACTTCCTTGGGTTACTGATTGACTGATGAGGGAGGGGTGGACCCCCTCTTTCCACAGGGTTGTCATGAGCACACAGAGGCCTCAGAGCTACCCATACAGCATCATTGCTAAGTGTTAGCTGACAATCCAGTTCAAGAACTACCAGGACACCAAATGGTCTGCAGAAATCAGAGATCATGGTGAACTTCAGTGGCAGTTTTAATGTGTGTGTGTGTGTGTGTGTGCACGCGTGCATGCACACGCGCACATGTGCTAGGCTGTGTCCAACTCTTTGCGACCCCATGGGCTATAGCCCGCCATGCTACCCTGTGCATGGGATTTTCCAGGCAAGAATACTGGAGTGGGTTGCCATTTCCTCCTCCAGGAGATCTTCCTGACCCAGGGATTGAATCCATGTTTGAACCCTGCATTGGCAGACAGATTCTTTACCACTAGTGCCACATGGAAGCCCATGACACTTTTAATAGATCTGCCAGTTAATAAAAAGAAACCCAGTCATGGAAATCAAACTCATCTGAGGCTATTTCCTATTATTGTCATGCGAAATTGTAGGAAAGTGCACATTCCTTAAGAAGGGAGTAAACTTCCTCAACCTTGCCCCAGAGCCTCCATCAGTCGGACCTTTTGTCTCGTGGAAAACACGACCCCTCCCTACCACCAGCTTGCTTCTGACCACGTGAAATGAGTGTACGCTTTACACACATGCTCTCGTTACACCTCGTGAATTACCCACGTATCAGAGAGGAGGGCATTGAGACCAAGGCCAGGCTGCCAGACCAGCCACCCATCTGACTGTCCCCATCCTTACTCCCGAGGCATGGTGCCCACACCCCCTGCAGAGGACTTCATACATCCTTGTCCATCCTCAGGGAGACAGCCCAGCCCAGGTGCCTTCTCAGACTCAGGCTCTTATGTTTGCATCAGTCGGGCCACCTGCTGGCCTCTCCTCCCTTGCCTCTACATCCTTCGCCCAGGAGAAGGTGCATGATACTCGATCCCTTCCCATCCATCACGATGTTTTCTTCCTGTCACTCAGTCTCACCTTTAAAGCCTGTGTTCCCGGCAGCCTCTTCTGCCAGGCTGGCCTCCTCACTGCACACATGCTCACTGCTGAGCGCCTCCAGCGGACCAAGCGCGGAGCCAGCCGTGAGGTCACAGTCTAGCCATCCCAGGGTCTACGTCTTTCAGGGAATGAATTCTCCCATCTCCACCCAACTGCTATCACAACAAAAACATCTCTCCCTCAGCAGGCCCCTCAAAGCATCACCCCAGCCTTCCTCCATACCCCTCACATGAGGGCCAGCTGGATCATCTGGGCCAGGTTGGCCTTAGGCTTCCAGCACCAGAGGTGGTGACAAGCTGTTTAACATCCTCTCGGCACCGAGACCCCTCTGATGAGAGTTCCTTGTGCCGTGTTCACAGGTGACTGCTGGCTGCTGGCCGCCATTGCCTCCCTCACTTTGAATGAAGAAATCCTGGCTCGAGTCGTCCCCCTGGACCAGAGCTTCCAGGAAAACTATGCGGGGATCTTCCACTTCCAGGTAACTTTTAATAGTTGGCAAAAGTTTCTCAACAGGTCCTGACTGTTGTTCAGCTGGTCAGTCATGTCTGACTCTTTGCAACCCCATGGACTGCAGCACCCCAGGCTTCCTTGGCCTTCACTGCCTCCCGAGTTTGCTGAAACTCGTGTCCATTGAATTGGTGATGCCATCCAACTATCTCATTCCCTTTTCCTCCTGCCTTCAATCTTTTCTAGCATCAGGGTCTTTTCCAGTGAGTCGGTTCTTTGCATCAGGTGGCCAAAGTATTGGAGCTTCAGCTTCAGCATCAGTTCTTCCAGTGAATATTCAGGGTTGATTTCCTTTAGTATTGACTGGATTGATCTCCTTGCTGTCCAAGGGACTCTTAAGAGTCTTCTCCAACACCACAATTCGAACAGGTCTTGGGGGCCAGGATCATGTCCTGGGTACTAGAAGCAAGTGTGGAGGTTAGGAGTGGATCCTGGGGACCAGGAGCAGATGCTAGGGGCCGAGAACAATACTCTTCTATGAAGGACACTGAGAAACAGCAGGAAGCTCCCTGGCCTGCCACCGACCTGGAACCCTATAAGGACAACGAAGGTGCGGAGGGCGGCAGGGCAGGGTTCTCAGGAAGTGGTTCCCAAGTGTTTTAAAATAGTGTGTTATTTAGGATCTGAGACAAAATGTTAAGGTACGGCTCACTGTCCTCCTTGTGTGCTGGTAAATGAGAAATAGTATTTTTTAAAGTATAAGGTGCAGGGCAGAGGGTGGGAGGGGAGGCTGTGGCCTCAGAGGGAGGTGTGTCCTTGGTTTCTCAGTGAGGATGTACCTGCTGGAAGAGGGCTGGAGGGAGCACCTTTTCCCAGGATGGGCTCATGGAGCCTACGCCCAGGGGCCCAGGCCGGGAGGAGCCAAGTGCAGCTGAGGCTCGCGGGGTGGGAAGGACCCCCAGGCTGCCACCTGCCACCGGCTCCTTCTCCAGGCCACCCCTCTCCCTCCCTGCCCCGCAGTTCTGGCAGTACGGCGAGTGGGTGGAGGTGGTGGTGGACGACAGGCTGCCCACCAAGGACGGGGAGCTGCTCTTCGTGCACTCGGCAGAGTGCAGCGAGTTCTGGAGTGCGCTGCTGGAGAAGGCCTACGCCAAGTAAGTGCCCGCGCCCTGCCCCCGCCAGCATGCCCCCAGCTGCCCTGCATTCTGGAAAAGACAGAAACTATTCAAGGACGATTAAAAAAAAAAAAAGTCCTATACTACGGAAGGACTACTCTGGACAAAATGTGGGCTCGAAATTCGAGGAGATAATGCACATGGCTGTTGCCGTTTTTCACCAGATGCACAGGAGGAGCACGTCACGGTGCTGATCGTGCTGGCCTTGAGGAGTTCTGCTTCCTTGGCAGGTCATGTTACATTTTTTGTCAGCTAAATGCAGCAGAGATTTTTTTTGCCAAATGGGCAAAACGATCCATTGCAGAGGTATGAAAATTATGGAAATTGGCCCAGAATATATAACACACTGATTAGAAATGGTTTTCCCCAGCCCTCCGGGGAGCTGCATCCCCCACAGGCTGCCTTTTCCACTGCTCAGCACTGCCTGTTCTCAGCAGGAACCCACCCCTCACCCCATCCCTCCATCCCCCTCCAGAATGTGCCCGGCCATGGCCCTGCTGCCTGGGCTCCCTCTGGGAAAATGAGCAGCTCTCAGGCATCAGGAGGATTTCTGTTCCTTCCAGCCCCTGCCAGGGAGGAGGGCCAGGAGTCAGACACCAGCTGTGAGAAGCTGGGGCCTGAAAAGCTGCTAAGTCTACACGCAAACAGTAGAGTCAGGGCACCAACGTTGCGACCAGGGCACCATCAGGAGCGACCAGCACCTCCTAAGACAGTGCCGAGGATGCTCAGGGAAGCTGCTTTCATTACCGAACTGCTGTCCCCTTTTAAGCTATAACTGCCAAACAGTCCATTTAGCAGACCCCTTTCCTGCCAGGATGCAGAGAAAATCAATACAGGAGGTTGGCCAGATAAACATCCAGGTCCTTCCAGCTCTAAGGTTCTGTGAGACTTTTCCAAAAGCGTCATAAAGTACCAGGCAGTGGTAACCACAGGGACAGTCACCTGCCCTCAGGGGCACCCCGAGCTGGAGAGAAACCAAGGAGAGGCTGGGCAGAGGGTCCCTGGAGCGTCCAACAAGAGGCCTGAGTTGGGGAGGGGGACACTTTGAGAAGCGGAAGTTTCAACTCCGGTGGTCACAGGGTCTCTCCCCTTCCCACAGGATCAACGGGTGTTATGAAGCGCTTTCCGGGGGTGCCACCAGCGAGGGCTTCGAGGACTTCACTGGAGGCATTACCGAGTGTTATGAGTTGAGGAAGGCCCCTCCCAACCTGTTCAGGATCATCCAGAAGGCTCTGGAGAAAGGCTCTCTCCTGGGCTGCTCCATCGATGTAAGTCCAAGCCTCCCTCCCCAGCCGCATCCCAATCTGCTCTAGTGGAAGTGAGCTTCCAACAGAGACCGAAGAGACCCACTGCCCTTACTCCCCGCACGACTAGCCCATCCTTTGTCCACTATATTATACATCACCTGGAGCCCCGGGGTGGCTAGGCAACAGTCAGGCTGGCTGGGGGTACAACTGGTGACTCCAGCCTCCAGCCGTTCTCTCTCCAGCCCATGTACAACCCCCAGCCTCCTGTGACTCACCACCCAGACCACAGCTTCCGTGAAAGTCCCCTGCCCTCTGCTGGGCCCAAGAGCAGCACCCCCCATTCACCTTCGGCCCACCTGCAGGACCTGTGCCCAGAGCCCAGCGGCCTCCCGCCAGCTGCTACAGGGTTAGCAGACCTGTAGGAAGACTTTAGGAGGCACAGGAGGGAACATCCCCTCCTGCTATCCTTGCTGGCACACCTCGCCAGAGGAAGGGAGGTGGGTGCGACATCCTGTCCCCAAGGAGCCGCCAGGCTTTGCCTGTGCCCAGCGGCCCAGTCCTGTCCTAAGCAGGAGGTGCTGGTTGCTCTGGGGTCAGGCATAAGAAGCCTGACTCTGGGGGATCCAAGTCTCAGTGCGACTCTAGGCAGGGATTTGCAGACCTTCTCTGCAGATCGTGTCCAAGCAGAGACCCTTTCTACTAGCAGCCCTTCTCGTTGACTGAAACGAAAATAACCACCTCCATCACAACAGATGGGGAATGGGATCCCTGGGGAAGCTTTAATAGACAGACTCCAGTTCTGAAGTCAGGCAGAAACGGAGGACTGCCCTTCTGTAAACGCTGCAGCCGGGCGGGGCAGGGCGATCCGCGCGGTTTCCGGAGACCCAGCGCGTTTGAGCCGCCCAGGTGTGTGTCCTGAGGGCGCGGCGTGCCCTTTTCCTGCGGGGATTTGTGACTGCGAGGGGCACCCACACGAGTGCAACTGCGGCGTCCCCACCACCACCCCGCCCGCCCCCGAGGGCTGCTTGCAGCCTCGGCTCTGGTTGTAAATAACGGCGGGAGGGCTCTGGGCGGGAGCGCGCCGGCTCTCTCACCCACCGCCCAGGCCCCCAGCCCTGCGGTAGGACCCGAGCGAGGAAGGGAAGGAGGGAGAAGGCGGGATGCGGAGGCCGGGCTGATTTCTCCCGCGTTTGCAGATCACCAGCGCTGCGGACTCGGAGGCCGTCACGTTCCAGAAGCTGGTGAAGGGGCACGCGTACTCGGTGACCGGCGCCGAGGAGGTAACGCCCGGCAGGCATTCCTGGGGATCTTGCCCTCCCTCACCCGATGGCAGAACCACAGTTTTGCCTGCTTGCCGAGGGTGGGGCCCCGCGTTCCTGGGCCTTTCCCAGCAGCCCCGCGTTGCTGAAGTTCAGGGCTCGCGACGGGCGGCCCTCCCCAGCGCCTGCCGGCCGCGCGCTGCCCTCTGCTGGCCGCGAGGGGGGCCAGCCGCCCTGCCACCAAGTCCCAGAATCGCCTCCGGATCAGCTGAAGATAACACGACACTGCGTCAAGTGTCGTGTTCCAGCCTCTTTCAAGTGCTTTCACATTTGATCTCACAAAAGCATCGGTGCCCCAGTTAGTGTTCACATCTGACTCTGCCCCTTGCACGCTGTGTGGCCTGGGCAGGTGTTTAAACTCTCTTCTACTCCCCAGTTTCCTCAAAGTTGAATTAGAAACAATAGTACAGTGATACCTGTTGTAAGGTAGTTGAGGTGAATCAAGAGTTAATATTTGTAAAGCGCTCAGACTGCCTGAGGAGTTGTGTGTAAACAAATCGGTCTCCTTGACTTTGCTGTTATTATCATTACTATAAATGTTGTTAAATAGCCATCTTCTAATCACTGAATGAAGACTAGATCCCAGGTCGTCTGACATACCCAGTGCAGTTTTTTGTTTTTAACCTTGAATCTTTGTTTTATCCAACTCCCCACATCTTTGTATTTTGAAAAATTTCAAGTCTACAGAAAAGCTGAAAGACTCATACAGTAAACATTCAAATGCTACTTCCCTGGATTCAGCAGTGGTTAAGATTTTCCACATCTGTTTCATTGCTTAGTGTGTACTTTCTTTCTGAGCCAGTGGAAGGAAATCGCGAACGTCACAACATTTCACTCGCTCCTGACACTTCAGTATTTATCTCCTGCCCATAGGGACACTGTCTTACATAATCCCCGTACTGTTTTCATGCTGAAGAAATAAAAAATAACTCAATAATGTGATGCAATAAGTAGTCCATATAAACATTTCCCCAAGTGCTCCAAAATGTCTTTTATAGCCCCCTCAACGCCCCCAGTCCAAGGTTTAGTCAGGATCCATGTACCGTATTTGCTTGTCGTCACCAGTGTTCATGTGACGAAGCTCCTGCGATAAAAGTACATCCTATTATAGTCAGCTGAACGGAGGTTCAAAGGTGACGTCCCAGTGCAGAGCCCAGAACAAGGGCATTTGTGCCTCAGGCTCACGACAGAGGTTGAAGAGCCCTGATCCTCTCAGGGCTAGATCCCGGGAGCTGCCACAGGCTGAGCAGCAGCAAGGGTCTAGGGTCAAACCCTTCTCCCTTTTGTGATCCCCCTTGTAACATGGCTCCCATCCCTGGCTCATGGAGAAAGGGGCTTGGGCCGGGGATCCTCCAGGCCTGGCTTGAACTCAGCATCTCCCTCCTCTCCTTCACCCACCCATCCTTCAGGTGGAAAGCAGAGGAAGCCTGCAGAAGCTGATCCGCATCCGGAATCCCTGGGGAGAGGTGGAGTGGACCGGGAAGTGGAGCGACAAGTGAGGAGGGTGGCGGGGGTCTGGGTGGGGGGCGTCTGTCCAGGAAGCTCTGGGAGGGGAGCTGAGTAGAGAGCGCACGGCGGCTGTGCTGAGAATAAAAGCCCCCAGAACACAGGGCTCCCCCAACCCCGAGTGGGACCCATGGGACTGGTGGCCTCTCAGGACTCTTCACCAGAACGCTCCAGCCACCTGGCTGCCTTTACAAGGCCCGAGCTCCCGGGATGTTCATCCTTTCATCAGCTCATGGTTCACCCCTTCCCTGGCTCAGAGTCACTCTGCTATTGGACCTTCAGGGAAAAGACACACCTTTCCTCCTCCAAGCACTCATTCTATCCCAAGGATGTAAACGTTGTGCCAATAGAAGTCCCTCTGTTGATGGCCTGTTGAACCTTTAACTCTGGGGTGAAATCTCCCATGAGCCCCTCTCCTGGTCCTCCTCTGTTCCTATCTCCCCATCCTCCTCCACAGCCCAGCACCTACAGTTCCACCTTTTCCCTGGATGATTCCCAGGCAGCCTCTGCTGTGGCAGAAAGACACCCACCAGGGCCTGCAGGTCAGCTGCAGAGGCCAAGATGAGCACCCCTCCCCCCTCCATTGGATTTCCAGTCACCCCTTAAAAGAGCTGCCAAGCCCTTCTCAGTTTGGGTCCCTGATGCTACTTCATGTCTATCCAATGGGCTGTGTTCATTTTTTGGAATCTTCCTTGCCACTGTCTTCCAGGATAAGGTATCCTCTCACCCTGCTGCCCTGCACCTCTCAGCCACCTGGGTGTCACTTCCCTTCCTTACCGGGGTCTGGGCCCTCGGATGAGACAGCGTGTCCCTGGTCCTCAAATTTGGAGCAACTTGGGGAGAAGTCATTGCTCCACACTGGTTTCTAATGTCTCTCCCATCACTTGGTTTTCCAGCTGCCCAAACTGGAACACGATCGACCCGGAGGTGAGGGAAACGCTGACCAGACGGCATGAGGATGGGGAATTCTGGTAAGATTCTTGCACTTTAAGAAAGGTGACTGATCTTTACTAGAAATTGAGTCAGATTATTGTGTGGAGGGCACAGGAGCATGGGATCAGGGTTTTGTTGTTTTAAATTCACTGTAAGACCTTGAACAAAAAATTTCTGAACCTCTTCAATTTATCATCTCAACAATCGAGTTTCAAAGCTGAACAGCTTAGCAGAGAAGGCTAAGAATTCCTGCAGGAGTGTTCAGGTCCCAAGAGAAAAGAAGGGAAAGATGGACTTCGCTCCTAACAAGTTCCTTGAGAATCTTCCCAAGGCCTCAAGAAACAGGACCCTGGAACAACACGGATGGGCCCGAGCATCTGTGTCTGTGCTTCTCTGAGACCAGCCACATCTGTACAGTCCTGGCATCTTACCAACTGAGCGTCCATATTTTGTCTCATTTGATACTCATGTCTCATTTGATACCCCTGTTTTCTACAGATGAGAGTTCTGAGTTTCAGAGAGACTTAGGTAACTTGTTCAAGATTACCAGTTAGGAGGTGGCAGCACCAGGACTGGAACCCACACCTTCTGATGGCTGACCTAGTGGCCATGCGGCCCTGACATGCTGTCCCCTGGCTGCCCTAACTGCGTCCTAGTCTGGACTTGGGTGGAAGGACCAGGCTCGCCAGTGCATCCTCTGGTAACCTGGGTCACGCGTCCTTGCTTTTGCAGGATGTCTTTCAGCGACTTCCTGAGACACTATTCCCGCCTGGAAATCTGCAACCTAACCCCTGACACACTCACCTGTGACACCTATAAGAGGTGGAAACTCACCAAGATGGATGGGAACTGGAGGCGGGGCTCCACTGCGGGCGGCTGCAGGAACTACCCGAGTGAGCCCCCCCAACCTTACCCTGGGGTGCTGCACCCCATCCTGGCTGCCCCTACCACTGGGACCCTCTCTTCTTCCTGAATCTCTATCTCAACACCCTCTCGGTCTCCTCAGCCCCTTGCCTTCAGCACTCATGTTTCTACCTGCCTGGGCAGAACCCAAGACATGCTGAGTCTGTGGTTCCTCTCCAGGCCCTATATTCCGTGATGCCATGACCTCACACTGAGGTCACTAACCCTCCTTCATGCTCATGGGCTACTTTATCCACCCAAAGCCCAAGCAGCTTAGCCCAGCAGAGGTTCTCACCCACTGGGTCTCTGCACATCCAGGCCCTGATTGTTGCCTGGCAACCCTTTTGTGCCCAATTCACTCAGCCAATGCTGATGGGGCCCTGCTCAGAGGAGGTGGGGGTAGAGGGTAGGGTGAGGATTCCCCTACTGGTTCATCTTTTGTCGATTCCCTTGATTCTTCTGCCTCGATGACTTAGTCCTCCTCTGCCCTCTCACCCTCAGAAACTATCTCATCATGATGACATCTGCCGATTGTGGAATATACATTGGGTGCTAGTCTTCACAGCAGACTTCTGGGGCAGGCACTTTATTATCATCTCCATCTTTAAGATGAGGGGACTGAGGCTTGGTAAAGTTAAATGACTTGCCCAAGGCCACACAGCCTTGACTGTGCCTGGGGTTAAGAACCCAAGCAGTCCGGCTGTAGAGTCAGCCTTTAAGCACTGCAGTGGCAAGGCATGGTCATATATGGATTCTCTGTTACAGATGAGGAAACTGAGGCACTGAGTGGCATGCTCGGGCCACAGAACAAGTAGTCAGACTGGGACTAGCTGGTGCCTGTAGCTCTGTAGCAAGCAAGTTCCAGAGGTCCTAGGAGACTGTCCTCTGCCTCAGACAAGACTATCTTCTACCCCTTATTTCAAGGGTTGGTAAACTCTCTCTTGAGGGACAGATAGTTGATACCTGGCTCTGTGGTCCACCCAGTCTCTATGGCAACTATCAACTGTTGCTATAGCCCAAAGGCAGCCATTTAAATGAATGGATGTGGCTGTGTTCTAATAAAACTTTATTTGTAAAAACAGGCATCCAGCAGCTTATAGAGCCATAGTTTGCCAAGCCCTATATTAGATGATTGGAGAAGGCAACGGCAACCCACTCCAGTATTCTTGCCTGGAGAATCCCATGGACAGAGGAGCCTGGCGACCTACAGTCTATGGGATCGCAAAGAGTCAGACATGACTGAGTGACTAACACATACTAGATGATGCCTTTATTTCCAGAATCCAAGTATTATCCTGTCAAGGAAGGGGAGGTGATCACCTTAATTATCCTTAAAATGAATGAATCTCAGCTCCTTCCAGCACCATGGGAGTGGGCAGGGGCACAGGCCCAGGAGGACAGGGACACAGAACAAGAGGCCGAGATTGTCCACTGGGTGTTCCTGGCCCTTAGTTCATTGAGGGGGCTGCAGAGCTAGTCCCCAAGTCTCCCTAGCCATGCCGTCCAAGCCATCTCTGACCCCCGAGTTAGAGCCTGGTGAGGGGAGGATAAAGTAGGGGATGTCGCAGCTGAGCCAAAGGAGAACTGGGCCTCAGCTCTGACCACCCTGTTCCGAGGTGAGAAATGCACCGCACCCCCACACACACCCCCCTCCCCAAGCCCAGCCAGCTTGAGGAAAAGCAAGAGAGAACTGCAAAGGGGAGTATCTAATTTAGATTCCTGTGAGGTTCAGACAAGCCCCCAGCCCTCTGCTGCTTCGTGGCCCATTTCTGCCCAGATGGGCTGCTCACCAGCCCTGGTCTCTGGTTCCTCTAACATCTCCCCCCGACCCTCACCCCACTCCCAGTACCCTCCTCCCCCTATGCACATCTGCCGGGCTGGGGGTCCGTGTGTTGTGTGTTGGGTGACTGACCCCGCCCCTCTCTGTCTGCAGACACTTTCTGGATGAACCCTCAGTACCTGATCAAGCTAGAGGAAGAGGACGAGGACCAGGAGGACGGGGAGAGCGGCTGCACCTTCCTGGTGGGTCTCATCCAGAAGCACCGGCGGCGGCAGAGGAAGATGGGCGAGGACATGCACACCATTGGCTTCGGCATTTACGAGGTATGGGGGCGGGGCATCCATGGGGCGGGGCATCCACGGGGGCGGGGCTCCGTCTTCCCTTCCTTCTCTTCTCAGCCTCTGCCAACCCCAGAGGCAGATCTGGGGAGGGAACCCCAAACCAGAAGCTTGGCCAAGGAAAACCAAAGTCAGGGTACAGGCCAGTCTTAGGAGAAGTGCAGGGAGGTCCCTGCAGTTGGTCTGTGTCGCTGGAGGCCCCCTTCCCCTGCAGCCAGCTTCCCGAGGTCCCACGCTATCAAATAGCCTCTGTGGCCCTTCTTACAGCCCCAGGCCTGGCCCTCTGGTTGGTCACCAACCTCTAGTAAATCGAACAGAGGTGAACTGAGGACAGAGCATATGGAACCACACCGGGCACCAGCATGAGGGCAAGAACTAAGCCAGCAGGTGCCACTCTGGTCCGAGTCCACAGAGCGTCTGCTCTCATGGCAGAGCGCTGGGCAGGGGAGCAGTTAGTTGGTCATAGGCTTCCGTCAGGGCTCCACTGATGGAGCCCAGCCCCCGTACAGGCACGCTGACTGCCCCCATGTCCTTTCGTCTGGAAGTTTGCAACAAACCAAAGCCCAGCTCAGCCACAGTCAGAGAGCAGCCACGTCATTGCCCCCACTGGGTGCCCTGCCCATTCCTTTCTACAGCACAGAGAAGAGTTTCCCCCAGTCTGGGGTGAGCAGTGGGAGAATAGGGGTGAAAGGAGGACTTCAGAGCCACTGAACTGGGGTGCACATCGGGGTGATGGGGGGTCCCGGTGATGTGCTGGAGCTGGCTCACTCTTCCTGGCCCCACCTTTCAGTAAAGTCATGTTGGTAGCCCAAAAATGACCCTGGCAAGGAGTGGGCAGTATTTACACTGTAAAAATTAGCAAATATTGCAAATCAGCATTCCCACCATACCCCGAGGGCCGGGCTCCCAGCACAGCACGTGCGAGTCAGGCACAGAGACGGAGAGAAGGCTCTCTGCTCACTTCACTCATCAGGGCAATGATCTACCTTCTCACACCAACAGGTGGAGTTGGGCAAACACCATCTTTGCTAAAAATGCACACAATTTCAAGCACCTCAGTCTCTGAAGTAGGAGCTGAAGACTTCAGAGCTGGGACAGAATAACCACCAGAAAAATACAGACTGAATTGTGTGTGACACACAGCCCACCCTTCCCCCCCGCCACTCACAGGCTAGGAAATCTAGCCATGGGCTGCGAGAGCTGAGAAGGACCTGGGGGTTGTTTGTTCCCATTTTAGAGATAAGGAAACGCAGGCCAGAGAAGGGAAGTGACTTACTTGAAAAAATACAGAGGGATGTGGCCAACACGAGCCTAGAACCGATCATCTGCTGGCTCCAGGCCAGAGCACACCCTGATGCTTCTTCCAGTGGCTCAGCCCTGTTTTCCCTGGGAGGAGGCAGGGTGTAGGCTTTGCTGCAGGCAACTGGGTAACCTTGGACAGTCACCTCACAGCTCCAGGCCTCAGTTTCATGCTCTGTAAGTTAGGAATGGTGCTAAGGGCTCATCCTCATTATTGCCAAGTCCTAAGAATTTCTTTTAATTTTTTTAAAATGTGAGAATGCTTTGAGTTCCTTGGAAAATAATTACTTTGATGACTTAGTTATTATTACCAAGGCTACAGAAGGAGTGGTGTAACAAAGGAGACCATTTCAGTGGTGACATTTCTTTCTGGAGCTCTTCCAGAGTCTGAATTACACATGCTTTCCTTTATTTGCAGGTTCCAGAGGAGGTACGTCTGGCACGCAACAGCCCCCATCCTTGGAGCTCAGGTTCACCAACCAGGAAAAGGCTTAGACTGCTGGCTCTGGGGTCTCGTGAAGCCTGGGCAGGGCCTCGTGTCTATGAAGAGTGAATGCCCACCCCCGCTACCTGAGCCCTGGTGAGGTTGCTCAGGTCCTAGGTCTCAGGGTCTAAGCAAAGAGGGAGACATCCGGTACAGTCCCCATGGAATGTACTTTATCCCCGAGGCCAGCAGAGTCGAACATGTTTAGTCCTGGGTGCTGGTTCCTTGCTCCTAGGACTGTGGGAGACTCTTCTTGGGGTCCTGTAGTGCTCCTAAAACAAGCTAGAGGGACTTCCCTGGCTGTCCAGTGGTTAGAATTCTGCACTGCCAGGGTAGGGGGGAGCAAGTTCAATCCCTCCCTGGTCAGGGAACTAAAATCCCACCTGCCTCATGGCGCGACCAAAACAAACAAAAACTGGCCAGAAGAGAAATGATGAGCCCTGCAAGTGGTATTATAAGAAGATGGGGGAACATAGCAAGGGACCTGGACCCCGTTCCCAGTTCTGCCACTTGCAGACTGTGTGACTTTGGACAGTTTACCTGTCCTCCCTGAACTTGAGTTTCTTCGTCAGTAAAACTGATCAACCGTCCACCTCGCCAGATTGTTGGGATGCATTGAGAAACGTGAGAGCACTTAACAGGCCCGCAGTTAGGCTTCACTGAGTGGTGAGATGCACAGTCGCGGTGTGTCTTTAAAGGCCACAGTTATTCGAGTCGACACACACGAGGCAGAGCGGCTGGTGGTGTCCTGGGTCTTCGTGGGTGCTGTGGACAGGTGACACCCCGGGCTTGGGAGCTGGGCCCCCTCCTCACCCTGGTCCTGTCTGCTGGTGTCAATGTGTCTACACCACAAAGAACCGAGAAGATCCCAGCCGTGCGGACTCCGATGTCCCCGGGTCATTGGAGGAAGGCTGAGGACCTCTGTCCGAGCAGAGAGATGGGGTGTCTGCAGACAGTGGGTGAATGTGGGTCCCCTATTATGTGTGTCTCTGAGCTGCTGTTTGGGCTGGAAGGTTTGCTCTTTATCCCAGCATTGTGGCTGGCATCCTCTTATCTCAACAACTGGAGAGGGCGGTGCTCGGAGCCCTTCCCTCCATCCTCTCCCACGTGCTCCTCTTTCTTCACCAGTTGACTGGACAGACCAACATCCACCTCGGCAAAAACTTCTTCCTGACAACCAGGGCGCGGGAGCGGTCGGACACCTTCATCAACATGCGGGAGGTGCTCAACCGCTTCAAGCTGCCCCCCGGGGAGTACATCGTGGTGCCCTCCACCTTCGAGCCCAACAAGGACGGTGACTTCTGCCTCCGGGTCTTTTCCGAGAAGAAAGCCGACTACCAGTAGGTCGTTCAGCCCTCCTCCTCCCCGCCCCTTGCTCCTGGCCTGCCTGGAACAACCTCACTCCTCTGAATGTCCGCTTCTTTTTCTGCAACACCTGCCGGCGTTGGAATGACACGGTCCTGTCTCTGACCTCAGTCCTCTCCCGGGGAAACCTCAACCACCCCACCCCCCGCCACCAACTCTGCCATCTCTAGGTCTCTAGAGAGCTATTGAAGGACTCCAGTGCTGTCGTCAGTTCAGCAAGGACTATGGCCACTCAGGATCTTTGGGGTTAGAAAGGGGTGGTGGCAGAGCCAGTCGCAGAACCCAGTTTCACAGCCCTGTCTCCGAATGTCCACCAGTAGGGGTAGTGCTGGTGGGGTCCTTGTGTGCCCAGTCTGCCGGCCTGGCAGAGCCAAGGGTGTAAGTCTCCCTCCCCCAGGGGGACATCCCACCTCTCAAAGGTGTCCACCTTCTTGCCCAGGATATTAATCCTGATTCCAGCTGTCAGTACCAAGAAGTCCTCGCATCCTTCCTTCTGTGAGGTATCAGCACGGTAGACAGGACTCTTGGTGGTCTAGTTTGAGATCCCAGCCCCTCCTGGGCTTAACTTCCCTCCCTGTGGAGCAGAAGGACCCAGCCCTGCACACAGGCCTGTGTGTGGGATAAACCAGCCAGTGCCTGAGCTTCATTTGAAATCTCCCCCAGGCCTCCCCGGCTGTGCCTCCTCCTGCCCTTGGCAGAGCAAGTAAGCAGCAGGGTATGTTGATTCTTGGTGTGAAGATTTACGAGGGCAAAGAGTGTTCCCAAGGGAACCTAAAAGCTGTTCTCCAGGCCCGAGCACGACCGCCATAGTACATGGGAAGCCTGTGCTCTTCGATGAAGACCAAAAACTAGGGACCAAAAACATTCTGACGCTCCAAGTTTTTTTTTAGATCATTTCTGCTTCAATTTCTGCTGAAATTACGGGATGTGTTGTCACAAAAACTTGGGATGCAGAGAAACCCCCTGTGCCCACCCCATGCTGGGTGTAATATCCCAGCTCCATTTTAGCAGGGATTTCTGCCTACTCCCTCCACAGTAACACACACCTTCCTTCTGTTTCTAGAGTTGTGGATGATGAAATCGAGGCCAACCTTGACGAGGTACCGTAACTGAATTCCATGCCCTCTGTCCCACACAGCCCAAGAGGAGAGGAGCAGAAAATAACCCCAGGGGTTTCGGAGGCCCCTGGGACTTCAGGAGCATAGCTTGAAACTGGGGTGTAGCCCTGGCCTAGGAGTCTGAGGGTGCCTCCTGCCCTGGCAGCTCTGGCTGCCACATGGGGCCTGGGCGGTGCCCTGGGCGTAGCCCACAGGTGTGGGTGCCGTGGAGGATGGGACCCCCCCCAGCTGCTCTGAGCAATAGGCGGTCTTATCACTCCTCTTTCTGGACCTCAGTTTTCTCATCGATAAAACAAAAGTGCTGCACAAGATTTCTCAGGTTCCCTAGAGTCCCCAGAGTTGTGATTCGGGATAAGTCTTGAGGCTTTGAGGGCAACAGCTCAGGCCTTTCAGACTTGGCCCAGGTGGAGGAAGGCGTGCTCTTCCAGCAGTCCCGATGCCCGCCGTGGCTCGATGATTCTGTTACTCCCAGCTGCTGAGGCTCCATGCTCGTCACCTGTCCTCAGTGAGACACAGAACGATTTCCAGCAGCCTCATGTCTGTGCTCTCGACATGGTCAGCATCCCTCCAGAACTTGCCAGATAGTCTTTATGCTTCTGAGCACTCATTAATTAGGCCATAAAAGTCCATTTTAGTGGAATGTCGGAGAGGGTGTCTATGTGAGAAATGAGAGTGTAACTCCCTCTCACATAGTATATATATTTCCTCTCGTAGTTTTTAACTAGAAAAAAATTCTTTTATTAATCCTCACCTGTCCTTAATCTCAATCCCAGTAACCTTAGAATTCAGGCCCAAGAGAGGGAGAGAGGGTACTTGAGCAGGGAGGGGAGGCCACCCTGGAAGGGAGAGCAGACATCTGCTGGTCACCCTTCTCACCTCACTCCTGGGCCTCCCTCGCCTTGCAGATTGACATCAGCGAGGACGACATCGATGATGGATTCAGGAGACTGTTTGCCCAGCTGGCTGGAGAAGTGAGTGGTCCCCAGGTCCCTGTTATGTGCCCTGCTTTGATGCCAAAGAAGAGACAGTCTTTGTCCTCGAGGAGACTTCCATTTAAGCAGGGAGCAGAAACAAAAAACAAACAGAACAAAAGCAAAGAGGAGTAGCAAATGGAACTGAGGTTTCCGCTGAGATTCCTTGCTAACAGCCTCCCTAGAATCTTTGCGCATCAGTCACCAGGGGCTTCCGCTGTGGGGTCAGCTCCCGATGAGGTCCTCCTACCTGAGGACTCCAGGCCTCTCCTGTGGCTGTATCGTTTGCTCTCTGCCACTGTGACCGAGGCGTGGAGCTCGGCCCCTTCTCCTTGATTCCCACAAAAACCTTTGGGGAGGTGGAGGGTCTTTAATCTCAAGGATGTAAGCAGCAGAGTACCAGACTTCCCTGTTCTTTAAAAAGAAATCTCTCAGCTACTTGGGCTCCTGTCCACTACAGAGTTAATGGGCCTCTTGCTCCAACAACTTCAAAAAAAGTCATTCTCCTCCATATATGGAGGACACTAGCTCTTGCCAGTGGCCACCGTCGACTCACCCAGGCCTCCTCATCAAAGAGCTGAAGCAGGCACCACCTGCTTCCGCATGCCTCCTGGTTTCTAATGGAAGGAGCATCACAGAGATCTGTTCCCCACTAATTGAATCACACACACCGACACACACACATACACACCTCCCACGAAGGCACAGTGTCAATCTTGGTCTCAAATAATAGGGCTTGTCCCCCAGTTACAATATGTGTACGTGAACAGAGGCACCCACACCACTCCTGAGGAGCTCTGGCATCGGGGGCCACAGAGGACATGCTGGACCAGTTCTTGGAGACAGCTGGTTCCAACTAACGCCACAGGAAGCCAGGTCTGGGTTTTAAAGAGACAGGAAGGCATGCTGTGTGAGAACTGAGTGTAAAGGCTGAGTCTAAAGACCACAAACGTGGATAGAGCGGAGGATTTATCCTTTACGTTCTCTACAGCAAGGCAATGGTGAATGAACTCTGCCTGTTTTCATGTTGTACATTAAAGCACTAACTAAAATTCAGGCTGTGGCTATGCTACTTATAGTGCCATCTGGGGGCGGCAGCATCTTCTCCTGGGAGCTTGTTAGAAATGCACATGCGGGACCTCCCTGGTGGTCCAGTGGCTAAGACTGCAGGGGAGCACTGGTTCGATCCCTGATTGAGGAACTAAGATCCCTCTTGCCACACAGTAAGGCCAAAAAAATAAATAAATGAATAAACAAAATATTAAATGCTTTAAAAATAAAGTAAAACATTAGCATCTTTAAAAAACAGAAATGCGCATGCATAGACCCCAGAGCTCCGCTGGAGCAGACACCAATTACACACCTGCTGCTCTATGCTACATGCATCCCAAGGAAACCAGTAATGACACTCTGGTTGTGTGTCCACAGGATGCAGAGATTTCTGCCTTTGAGTTGCAGACAATCCTGAGACGAGTGCTAGCAAAGCGTGAGTATCCCCTCCTTGCAAATCCCTCATCCTGCTCGTCCTCCTGCAATATGAGGGGACACAGGGATCCTTCCCTTTCCCATCTCAGCTACTGTGATGGCTGAACCATCATTCCCACTCCTGCTTAAATACTGCCACCACCAACAAAGAACTGGATGAAGGAGGTTCTACTCAATGTGATTTTAAAAAAAAAAAAAGAAAGGGTAAAAGTAGGACTTCCTTGGTGATCCATTGGTTAAGACTCCTCACTCCCAATGCAGGGGGTATGGGTTCCCATCCCTGGTCAGGGAACTAAGATCCCACATGCCACGTGGCTTGGCCTAAAAAGGCAAATGTTTCTGTAATCTGGAGGTCAAGCTTCCATGACCTACTAGCTCTGCAGTCTAAATGAAATTAGGTAACCTCCCTGACTCTCGTTTCTTTATCTGCAAAATGGGCACATTATTACGTATCTCTTCAGGGTGACTGAGATGACATACATTTGCGTAGCACCAAGTCTGGGCTCTGTAAATGGTGGCTGTTACCATGATTAATTGGTAAGAAAAAGTGAGTCAGTCCAGACAAAGGGAGCCAGAAAGCACTCCCCACCGCTGGACTCCTAGCTGTGTTCAGTGGGGAACAACTGACAGAGTGGCACTAGCTCACTGATTAGCCATGATGAAAAAATGCATGATCTCTCTTTCACTCAAACTTTCTTTCAAGGGGATGGCATTAAAAAGGCTCACCTTCCAAATGTGTGTTTAAGTGCACCTGGTTGGGCCAGTTCTTATTGGGAGATTTGTCACTTCAGTTGACCCAGTGGACCAGGCAAGTGGCTTCAAGGCTGCATAAATGGCTGCTTTCAGCCTGGGCTGACGGGCTTCCACAAAGAATGGACAGAAGTGGGTGGAAGCTTGAGAAGGAGCTAGAGAGCCATGGTCCTCACATACCCTTTCAGGTTTAACTGTTTCTTAGGCAAAAACTAGGGCTTCCCAAATAGCTCTAGTGGTAAAGAACCCACATGCTTATGCAGGAGACGTAAGAGACACCGGTTCGATGCCTGGCAACCCACTCCAGTATTCTTGCCTGGAGAATCCCATAGACAGAGGAGCCTGGCAGGCCACAGTCCATAGGGTCGCACAGAGTCGGACCCGAGTTAGCACACATGTGAGCAAAAAATAACAAGGGATGGATGGTCCACCTCCCCAGTATTGATCACCACTGCAGAGGTTAGAGAGAAGGTGTGTACATGTGCACAAACAGACACACACACACACACAGAGGCATTTGCCCCTCAAGTTATCACGAGAACTATGCTGCTTTGATAAGACAGCAGTCTGCTGAGCAGGGTCTGTAGAGTATCAGGAGTTCTCAGACCAATCAGAAACAAGTGAGTATGTTGTTTGGTCTGAGTGTCAGTCTGGGAATTGTCTCCAGAAGTCCCAGGGACTTCACTCTGGCTCAATCCCAAGAGATGAAATTCCTCCTCTGGAAGCCAAAGAAGGTTCTAGGCCAGCAGGGTCTTCCATCACAGAGGAATGGAATAACACACCCTTCATGGGAACCACCTGTGGCCTTGGAACAAAAGGCTGCTTTTGAGCCTCTGTGATTCGAGACGCTACAGTTAGGGGGTCGATTGGCCAGAAAGGCTGGGCCAGGGCAGGGCTTCACCAAGACACGTCCCGGTCCTAGGCCCCCGTCCTCTGATCTGGGGGTGACGAGAAGATGGTGTTTACCCCCAAGGCCGCCAGGCACAAGTGAGGTCACGGCTCTTCAGCTGTGTGGCCGTCATGAGCCCAGGGACACTGAGCCTCGTTGTTTCTGCACAGATGTGGGGAGGGGGAAGGGAGGGGTATGGCCAGCTCAGATTCAGCTGCTCTTTGTTGGGGGCACAGCAGCGGCCCCCCCGCACCTCAGAGCTCGGTACCTTCCCCTGAGCAGCACCTGGTGACGTCTTTTACTGCCCAAGGGCCCCATGAGCCGTCTCGTGCCCACACAGAGCAGGGGTCAGTGCCCAGAAGGGCAGCCTGGAGACAGGTTAGGTCCTAACCTTTCATGGCAAAAGGGGTGGGCTCCCCTCAAGGCTGTGGGAACAGACTCACATCTGTGACGAGGCTCACTCCACCTACTGACCACCAACTACACGGGACTCACCTTCCGAGTGACTCATCCAGGAGAATGCAGGATCCAGCCCTCAGTTCCCACCCAGCTGGGGACACAGAGGACCCCTGAATGCCTGCAGACAGATAGTTATGTAAACATCTTCCTCTTCAGGGCCCAGCCTAGAGTGAACACATGGGGCCTCCGATCTCTCCACAGGTGGCTTTGCACTTAAAGACCCAGACCCTTATCATCCTGTTATTTATTTAAAAAACAATTGGCCTTCCTTGGCGGTCCTGTGGTTAAGACTCCATCTTCCAATGCAGGGGGCAAGGTTTCAACCCCTGGTCGGGGAACTAAGATCCCACATGCCATGTGGCACAGTCAAAAAAATTTTTTAACAAATTAAATTTTTTAGAAAGCTCTTATTAAAATCCTGAGTGCCCCATGACTAATATACAGAGAAGTCAAAAAAGGTAACATATCTTTGCACTGTCCCAGTATCGTGGCCATCAGCCTCATGTGGCTATTTAAAATAACGTTAAGTGGCTCCTCCGATGGCTCAACGGTAAAGAATCCACCTGCAATGCAGGAGACGCAAGAGACACTGGGCTCCTTCCCTGGGTGGGGAAGATCCCCTAGAGGAGGAAATGGCAACCCACTCCAGTATTCTTGCTGGGAAAATCCCATGGACAGAGGAACCTGGTCGGCTACAGTCCATGGGGTCACAAAGAGTCAGACGTGACAACAACTTAGCACACCCAAGTGGATCCCATATCAGGGGTGCAGATACAGGATGTCCCTGTCCCCCTAGGTCATGTTGAACTGCACTGCTCCATAGGATGCTCCTCTCACACTTCTTTTGTCTTCTAGGCCAAGATATCAAGTCTGACGGCTTCAGCATCGAGACTTGCAAAATCATGGTGGACATGCTCGACGTATCCTTTAACAGGCCCCGAGGACAGAGGCTGGGGGAGTGTGAAACTCCACTCCGGGAAGATTCAAACACACACTTCCTCCCCCTCACAGCAGCCAGCTGTCCCCGCTGGCTGAGGTGTTGGGCTGTCGTCAGCACTGACCTCTCTCACTGGGGAAATCCAGGGAACTTCAAATGAGGGAATGCGAGATGCCACATCCCCCAACCCCCCACGCCCACCCGCACCAGAGGCTGAGTGGTTCCTGGGCTCTTGCAAAAAATGCCCAACAGCATACCCACCATCACCTGCCCAGGGCAGCTTGGACTTGTTACCTCTAGGGGAACAGTCCCTAAACCGTGGTATTTCTGATGTGAATATTTCCCAGGCATGATTTTTCTTCCTGATTTCTAAGATCGCCCCCACCCCCCCAACAAGAGCACAGTCCTTCCTCTTTGCTCTGGCCCCTTCCTAGGCCACCACCCAGCCCCTTCCTAGGTCGTCACCCATCTAGTGTCCTTCCTGCTTCCTGGGAGGTGCTGGGCAGGAGTGGTCTGGGTGGTCTTAAGCTTCTCTGAAGTTTCATCTAGGGGGCTCATGGCACCTGCTGTGAGTCCCCTCACAAAAGGCCTCTTAGAAATAATAATTCTCCCCAAATGGGCGAGGGCCAGGCCATTAAAAGCCACCTGAAGCCTCTGCATAATCTGATGGCTCATTGCTAGCAGGACCTAGGGCCTTCAGCAGACCACCCCCAGACCAGTCAGCACGCAGAATCAGGGGGCCTGCAAGTCTCTAGTGGGCCCTTCCACCAGCCCTTAGATGGAGGTCTGGCCTGTGTGAAAAGCTGGAAAAGGGCCTTCTGCGAGAGCTCCTTGTGGATGACTGGGGTTACCAGACTCCCCAGGGGAGAGGAGAGACGAGGTGACTCAGCCCGGGTGGACCCAGACTCTGGGAGCTTTCCTTAACTGAAGGCAGTCGGATGGGAGTGGCAAACTGGGACTGAAGGAGTTCTACATTCTCTGGACGAAGATTCAGAAATACCAGGTGAGAGCCCATGAGGGCCGGGAAGCAGGGGTGGTGGGTCTGTGTCGGGATGTGGAGGAACAGCTCCAAGTGGAGGGGATTGTACCTGTGATGGAGCTGAGAATGGGTGCAAAGAGGTCAGGGCAAATTAAGTGGTATACTTCCTGTGTTATGGACTGGAAACAGGGTCATCTAAAAGCCACCATCAAACATCCTGAAAAGATTTGTATAACTGTAATCCCTTGTAGTTTGGGTTTCTGACAGCTCAAGTGCAAAAATTACAGAAGATAGTATCAGGGCTCATGTAGTTGGCTAGGTGATTTGATGGGCTTATTTATAATCCAGCTCACACAGAGAGGCAAAATACCATTTAAGGCTGAAACGTGGATGATTTTCCAGGGCCAAAGTGAGGCAGAGACCTGGAAACACCCCAGCCCCACTTAGCACACAGCACAGAGGTAACTTGCTGCCTTTCAGGTCATGATTTTCTGTTTTGCATGTTCCAGAAAATTTACCGGGAAATCGATGTGGACCGGTCTGGAACCATGAACTCCTATGAGATGCGGAAAGCATTAGAAGAAGCAGGTAATACTTCCTCACTGTATTTTCTTTCTTTTATCTGTAGAACATGTGAAAACTTAGACTATATGATACAAAGCTTGGTAAACTATGAAATAAAGTAGGCGCTGGTTCAATACAAACACATCCTTTTCATCCACCTTTTAAAAACGAATTGGTAAAATGAAATGGAGTCCAGGATGTGTCTGCTCTCTAAGGCTTCTTGAATCCCATTTCCCTCTGAGGGCCCTGGAAGGTTGCAGGCAAAGTCAGTTCTCAACAGACCCACCACCCCAACTCCCCACCCTGTTCAGGTGCAGAGCTGGTCCAGCAGAAGTGGGGTGTCCAGCTCCACCCTTGAGTGAGTCCCTAACAGAATGTGATGTCCATAAAAAAGGACACGAGCTATGGGAGACCTGCAGAGTGGGAGACTGGTGTGGGGACAGAGATGACAACATGAAGTTGTTCATTCGATGGGATAATGCTTCAGCAGAGACCCCCAATTAAGTGGTTTAAACAACATACACCGTTCTCTCACGTAACAATTCAAGCTCAAGTCGTCCAAGGCCAGGATGGTGTGTCCTGCTGTCAGGGACCCGGGTTCCCTCTGTCATATTGTGTCACCACCTGCAGAGCACTGCCTGTACCTGCAGGACCAGGACAGCCTGCCAAAGCCACACACTGGCAACAGGCTGACAGAAGGAGGGAAAGACGGTCTCCTTGTCTTCATATATTATGGGCTTCCCTGTAGCTCAGCTGGTAAAGAATCCACCTGCAATGCAGGAGACCCCAGTTTGATTGCTGGGTGGGGAAGATCCCCTGGAGAAGGGATAGGCTACCCAGTCCAGTATTCATGCGCTTCCCTAGTGGTTTAGGCAGTAAAGAATCTACCTGCAGTGCTGGAGACCTGGGTTCAATGCCTGGGTTGGGAAGATCCCCTGGAGGAGCACATGGCAACCCATTCCAATACTCTTGCCTGGAGAATCCCCATGAACAGAGGAGCCTGGCAGGCTACAGTCCATAGGGTTGCAAAGAGTTGGACATGACTGAGTGACTAAGTGCACGCACATACACACACGCGCGCACACACACACATAAAGTATTTATTATCTGGCTGCTTGCAATCTTCCTTGCATCATGAGATCTTTCGTCATGTTATGTGGACTCAGTAGTCCGTGGTGTGTGGTCTCAGTTGCCCCAAGGCATGTGGGTTCTTAGTTCCCCAACCAGGCATGAACGCGTATTCCCTACATTGCAAGGTGGATTCTTAACCAGTGGACTACCAGGGAAGTCCCAGTCTCCTTGCCTTTAATTGCACACATCACTCTGTATACAAATCCCAGTGCCAGGGCTTAGTCACAAGGCCTCAGAGGACTGCAAGGGAAAATGAGAAATGTAGCCTGAATTCTAGGCAGCCATGACCTGCTAAAAATTCTACTACTATGGGAGACGTCCTTGGTGGTCCAGTGATTAAGACATCACACTCCCAAGGCAGGAGGTCTGGGTTCAATCCCTGGTCAGGGAACTAGATCCCACATGCTCCAACTATAGAGCCCACATGCTCCAACTGAAGATCCCGAATATGGTAACAAAGATCCTGTGTGCTGCAGCTAAGACCCAGGGCAGCCAAATTAAAAATATATATATATATATACTACTGTGGAAAAAGGGAGAATTAATATTGGTTTAGCATGAAGAGTTTCTGCCACATCCATCCGGCAACAGTAGAGGCACTGGGTTTGCAAAATAAACAGTCTCACAGCAGAGCAGCCAGGGGGACCAAAACAATGACAACTGTCATCTAAACTGCCCCGCCGGGTCCCCAGCCTATACACAGAGCCCAGGGGTGCAATCGAACACCTCACCATCAGTTTGCTTATTCATTTAACTTCAGGTTTCAAGATGCCCTGTCAGCTCCACCAAGTGATCACCGCCCGGTTTGCAGATGACGAGCTCATCATCGATTTTGACAATTTCGTCCGGTGTTTGATTCGACTGGAGACACTATTCAGTAAGTGCCCACTGGGGGAAAAGACCCATTTCAGCTCTCTCGGCAGGAAAGCAGCCTACTTTTCCTCACGGATGAAACAACCTGAGCCAGAGACAAGTCTTTTCAGCTGAGAATGGAACTCCTTCTTTAATCTGGGGATAGTGGGAAGAAATCATAGCTATGACATTCAATGAAATTGGCTGCCAGTCCGGGGAAGAGGATAATGTGATCTTTGTTTCAGCTCCCTCATTTATGCAACATCCTCTTTCTGCCTCCACAGGGGTATTTAAGCAGCTGGACCCCGAGAATACTGGAATGATCCAGCTCGACCTTATCTCTGTAAGTCAGCAGCCTCCCAGCCCTGACTCCTAGGGGAGAAATGCTGTTACCGGGGCGACAGAGGCCTGGAGCTTTTGGTCTGTTAGGGACAGGCTGTAAATGGTTGTGAGATCCCCAGATGCACTTCTGTTTGGTTGTTCCCAACTACCTATTGATTCTCCAATCCAAGAAAATACACCTGGCTCCTCCTGCCATGAGCTTTGCCTTGAGAATAGCAAAAAGTTAGAATAAGGAGAGGGTGGCTGCAGAATGCCTCTTAGAAAAATGACCTGCTAGTTAGCATGCATGGGAGAAGGTGTTTATGCAAAGAAGTCCTTTGGCTTAAAGTTAAGTGGGTCTTAAGAAGATCTGTCATTCTTAGTTCTGCTTAAAAGGACTTTCTGAGCAAATTACTTTTCTCCACTTCCTCTGCCCTTAAAGTAAAATAAACAATAGTGAATAAGCTTGCCATATGTAATAATTGTATTCATATGGCCTGGAACCCCAGTGACAGCCACCTATAAAATGATCACCAATCCAAATTCAGTTGGTACGCCAGTTCCACAGAAAGCAAAGCACAAAATGTTCCCTTGCAATCCAAAGAAAGTACTCTCACTTCAAAGAAGGAGGTCACTGGGATTACCTTCATCCTCGCAGGGCCCCAACCTGCTTTTCCTCTGTCTGAGGGGGAGCTGAGCTTGGAGCAGCAAGGGCTACCTACAGAGGGCGGGGTGGCATGACCAGTGCTGAGTGGGGATGACCTGATCCCATGGGCCAGAGAGGAGCAGAGTAGCAAGAAGGATAGGGGGTGGGGTGGGAGGATGAGGGACTGGCACTTCTTTCCTTGAATTTAGAACTCTGGAGGAACCCAGCAACTAAATGATTCTTTCATTCTGCTATTATGCATTTTAAAGTAACATGAGCCAACTGCAGATACATTTTAGCTGGTTCTAAAGAACACTCATTTGCTTAAAACTCATGTAACCCAGGAAATAACTCTCCCCTGAGACTGCAGTTAAGGTAGAGGCATTCCAGTTGGGGCCTAAACATGCCACCTGTGACGTTTGCAACTGTAGCCCCCTTTATCATTCTTGATGGAAATCTTATTCCTCCCCGGCTGCCACCGTTCCCTACGACCAGCCTACTCACACCACCATCCCCATCCCCATTTCCTCTGAGAAGCATCTTACCCACTGGCTTTCCATCCTTTCTAAGCCTTTCCTTTTACAGGTCCCTGGAGTTCCCCACACTTTTTTTTTTTTTGCTAAGGCAGTAACAGCAGGAAGATCTCCCCTTTGGTTTGCCATGATGGTCAACCTTGCCTGCAGGTTAGACCTAGGAAGCTTTAAAAAGTCCTGATGTCCAGGCCCATTCCAGACTTAATTTCATTAGAATCTGGTACAAAGTTCCCTGATTCCTCCAATATAGAACTAAGGTTGGAAACCACTAGTTTAAGGGTTTATCCACACCCCAAGCTAACCTCTGATGTGACACTCTGAGGCAGAGAGGTGGAAATGCTAATTCAAGTGTCCAAGTTTCAGGTTTCATGTGCTTCAGTCAACCCTGTAATTCAATTCATGACCACCTGATTCAAATAACCACTTTTTACTGCCCTGTAAAAAGCTAGACTCTAGAAATCAGGTAGAAAAAATGTGAGTTAGTGCAATCATACCTTAACCCTTAATCAGCTTTTCTGGTGCAATAGTCAATCTTTCAAAATAATCTACACCCTTTGAGCTTAAAAAGTGATCCCTGATTTTTTTTTTCCTTCCTTTCCTCACAGTGGCTGTGTTTTTCAGTACTTTGAAGTGATAACCAATCTGCCTGAAGATTTCTCATGAAAGAAAATCAGCCGAGGATTAAGCCTCCACGGAGAAACTTTTTATCTAGATCTTGAAATTATGGGAATATTTACTTAAACTGATGATTAGAGCTGAAAATGATACTGTCGACTTGAGAAAGCAGCACTTTCAGATATCAAAGTAAAAGATTTGCATATAATCATACTAAATGAGAGTCACTTAACCCTTGACAAACTTAAGAGAAAACCTTCCATCTGTATATAGTATACACTTTTTACTTTTACACACTTTCCTGTTTAGAGCAATATTAAATCAGGAAAAACTGCAGGGAGGTGTTTAACAGCTGAGCTTAATTGAACATTCAGTCAACCTCAAAGGACACAATGTCCTTGCCAGCAATAGTTAAAGCAACTTCAAGTTTAAAAATGCAGCTGTGACATCTACCAAACAGTTGTCCAGGGATTTCTCATTGCCCTTGAGTAAAATGGAAAAATACAATGCATCATGAAGGCATCCCAAGAGGCCAGGTGCGAAGCACATCTCAGTCACTGGGTTAAGAGACAGATTTTACATAGCATTGAACAGTTAACCAGCATGTCTTAACTCAAGTGCTGGAGTGCATCTGGTCTTAACACACTGAGCGTTATGATACCAAAAGGATGCTCCTCTGGCTCAGCTGAAGCACTGACCCAAACTGGGCATCTGTCCACAAGCCCACTGTGATGGAAGACAGCACAGCTGTTCGCCGCCCACCTCAAAACTTCCCGAACTTCCCCGCTAGCGTCCATGCATAGACTGGGGGGATGTCTCGTAGCAACCCCCAGGGAGACCACCCGAGCTTGTTTCCTGGCTTTACCTTGGGGAAAATGCTAGTGACATTATACAAATACTGCCTCGTTGCCTTATCTTCTTCCAAGTGTACTGTTCAATAAAGAGTCGCCCAGGCAATCCCACGTGGGTGCTGTTCTTCCTGGAGAGGGGCAGCAGTGAGCACCCCCAGTCACAGCCCACCCCACTCCAGCGAGGCGCACTCCCTCCCTCCAAAAATGCCTGTATTGGGAGGAGGGGCCTGCTGATCTACCATTTCATGGAACTGTAAAACTTTGTAAAAATCCAATTCAGAAGCTCTGATGATTGACCCTAAAGTGAGCTCCAATGCCTGCTGCTGCTTGGTCTCCTGAAGAGGCACTGGCAGTTTCGTGCTGTGCCTGCCACCCACATGTCCCTTTGGTGGAGGGGGCAAGAGAGATCCAGGAAGGCATGCGGCTAAACCCCTGGTCAACTGCTAGGGATCCTTGAGGGATGGTGGACGGGAAAGATGACTAGGAGAGAGGTGAACGGCACTCACTGGCTACTGGCCTGATCTCTTTTGATGATTACCACTTACTTCCCAAAGTCAAATCCTAAGAACACATAGCTGCTCATGTTGGGCCCACCTGAGATAATCTAGGATAATCTCCCTATTGTCAGGTCAGTTGATTAGTAAATTTAATTTAAATCTGAAAAATCCTTGGCAGTACCTAGATTAGTGCTTGGTTAAATAACCAGGTGTCTCAGGCTGCTGTAAAAAAATACCACAGGCTGCGTAGCTTAAACATTTCTCTCTCATGGTTCTGGAGGCTGGGACATCCAAGACCAAGGTGCCAGAAGATTCAGTGTCCAGTGAGAATGGCAGCCTTCTTGGGGTATCCTCACAGAGTATACTAGACTTTTCCTCTTATCAGGACACTAATTTCATGCAGCCCCACCCTTATGTAAACCTAATCACCTCCCAAAGGCCCCACCTCCAAATACTATCACACTGGGGGTTAGGGCGTCGACATCAATTTTAGGGGGACACAAATATTCAGTCCACAACACAACAGGACAAGAATATGGGGGACTGGAGGGGCATCTTCATAATTTTGTCTACCACACAGGTCCTCTGACATTTCATCCATGTTTTCTCTATTCACTGTTAGTCTGAAAGGCACAGTATGTTCTGCTGGCTACCTTCCTTTCTTGCTACAATTTACTACTGGTAAAAATGTCTAAGGAAACGTGACCACTGGTTTTCTCACCTGTCTCTTCTAATAAATGAAACAGTTTTAATATGCAAAATAAGGTCCCAAACAATTCACAAACTTGGTAACATATTAATGTGCAGGCTGGGTCTATATAACTTTACATCCTGTAACTCAATGTATGAAGAATCAGAAAAAATGAGGACACAAACAGCCTGTCAGAAGCTCTAGGTAAAGGTACAAGTTCCTATCACCATGGCCTCTAAGATCTTTTATAAAATGTCTTAATTCCATATCAAAGACCACCACAAAAATCACAAATTGCAAAACTGAGCAAAGAAATACTTATATTTAATCACATGGATGGTAAAGAAATACTATTTTTCAGCACAGTATGATATTCCAATGACTTAGGAACTTGAAACACAGCTGTTAATGACATAAAAAACTAAAGCCAGTAAAAAGCTTAGAGTCAAAAAGTTTAATTTTATTGCAATTGTTTTTAAAGTCGACTATGATCTTGACAAATATCATGAGTAAGTCTATAGCAAGTCTCTAATTTCTGAGATACAAAAGACAATAAATATAGATTCAAATCTCAGCCTAAAAACAATCTAAATCTACCTGTAGTGTAGTGTGGTTTCAATATTTCAAAGATAGGGTGCTACAAGGAATCACACCACCAAGTTGTTGCTCACAGACAACCATCCAACAGTCCTTCTCAGACAATACACAGTGTGCGGCGCCTCTGGACCTCCATCGAGTCCCCCATGGGCCCGCTGTTCTGGGGAACAACCAGAGATGGCACCGTGGAGGCACTGGTCCTTCTGGTGGGAGCTCAGGGATGTGGCAGGTGCTGAAGAACACCAAGGGACGCAGGCCGTGAAGTTGAGCCCCCAGTAGTCCAGTAAGTGGTCCCACTTCTTACAGAGAACAGGATTGTCACCATGTATCTTTCAGAGTACAACACAGCGCACCTTGCCCAGCGCAGTGCATCAGCCTCCTGCCAAGCTCTGCTCCATCGAGCTGAGCATCCTTGGCCAACAGTAGCCAAGGCCAAGCCTTCATCTGTTTCCAGAGCTCCTTCTTCATGGCTTTCAAGTTACTGTCATTAAAATGAGTCTTGAGAAATTTCTGCCACAAACGATCATACTGTTTCTTCTTAGTGGTAACAGAGGTTAATTCTTCATGAACTAAACATCTGCAAAGTTTCAAGCCAAGCTCCTTTGTCTTGGTTTAATTCTTGGGTAGAGCTGTTAAAAGAATTTTTAAAATATTTACATATGCACAGACATTGGAGTATAACACACCTTCAAGAATTTATGGGGGGGGGGGGTGTGGATGTTGATGTCACAGGAGAGAAATTAAACCAAAGAAAGGAGACTCTGCCATGTGAAGCAACCAAAGTAGCTGAATAACTCTTGTTGTCGTAGGGGTTCCCTCAACAGGAACACCCATGGTGCAATGATATAAAATCTGGGATGGCTCAGAGCATTAACTTCCTCTATGCAGCCTACTGAACTGTAAATCAAATCCAACAAGGATCACAAAGGACTAGAAGTGACTTACAATACTCTATATATAAACTCCAACACCGAGAACTTCCGTTCTGAGGGAAAAGATAAGGAGTTGAAAAGTCTCTTTTAACTTTATGCACAATGGACATCACATGGTGTCATGGGAATGGAGACTGTCATGAATGAAATGCCACAGACTAAAAGTCTACAGATTTGAGGGAGGATAAGTGGAGTTTTTTGTTTTAGGATCTTGTGCTTTTGTGTCTTCCATAGCAAGAGCTGGGAAGGAGAGTGTTCATGAAGCCAAGAGCAAGTCAAACTAGTCATTCAACTGGCAAACAAAACAAAACCCTTCCTCCTCCAGACAAAGGGAAAAAAAGAAAATCGAATCGAACTTCAAGCCAAAACTGACAAGTTAACTGAGGAACCAATGTTATATCAAGGACTGCGTCTCTCTGTGAGGAAAGATACTTGGCCAATACAATTTTCAAAACTTGTATGTGAGCCTCTGACTAAAAATCCAACATTTAGGCAATTTCCTTTTTTAAAAACTTCAAAAGAAACCCAAGGAAGTTGTGCAGAGGCCACTTCTACCCAGGAAAGATTTCCAAAGGACTAAGAATATTTAAATGTTGGATTAAAATTAAAATCTTCAATCCAGTCCACTGATTTCAGAACCTTTGAAAGCCATACACACGAAGAGAGCTTGGTCTCTGACCAAGTGCTTCCACACTTGGAAACGAATCATTCTCCCCACGTTTCAGTAACCACCGGACCTCTCTGTTAGAAAATTAAAGTAAGACCCAAATAAGCAACTACCTCTAAGAGGCAGAGCTTTCCCCAAGAAACTATAAGAAGTAAAAGTACACATTTGCTCTTGGTGTTCATTAAAGAAGGAAAGTGGCTGCATGTGAGAGATTATGCTTCTCTGGCACTAAAAAGCCTTTCTAGAAGCAAACAGGAGGGCTGGAAAGAGAAGCATCTCTATATTTCTACTTTCATCTGGTAATTTGAAAAGCTTTTTTAAAGGGCTCCATGGCTTGTTTTGTTTGGTTTTTTTCCATTTTCATTATGATCAGATGAATAAATATTATCCACACCCCAAATGTTTACTAAATAATAAATTGTGCTCCCAGGAAGACAGGAATCAAGATGAAAGTGAAAGTGAAGGTCCCTCAGTAGTTTCCGACTCTTTGTGACCCCATGGATCATACAGTCCATGGAATTCTCCAGGCCAGAATACTGGAGTGTGTAGCCTTTCCCTTCTCCAGGGGATCTTCGTGACCCAGGGATTGAAACCAGGTCTCCTGCATTATAGGCAGATTCTTTACCAGCTGAGCCACAAGGGAAACCCAAGAATACTGGAGTGGGTAGCCTATCCCTTTCTCCAGTGGATCTTCCTGACCCACGAATCAAACCAGGGTCTCCTGCATTGCAGGTAGATTCTTTACCAACTGAGCTATGAGGGAGTCAGATGTATGAAGTCATTTATACTGTACACCAAACAACAAAGGAGAAGAATGAGTCAGAATGAGGAGACATGGGCCAGAATCCAAGCTCCGGGTCCCAACACAGGAGTCATTTCAGCTATCTCCCCAGAGAGTAAAGCCCAGGCAGAGGGACACCCAGATGCTCCCTTGTTTAGGACCTCAAGCTGGGCAGAAGCTCTCTGCAGGCACAGACCATGCTGGCCTGACAAATGATGAGAATACAGTAAAAATATCTCCCATTGGCTGTACATTAGATTCCATCCAACTACACTAGCCTTTCCCTGAAAATATCCCCAGAATGTCTGCCCGAAGAGAGCAGCCTCTTCAGACTAATATAGATATGTTATTGGTTTATATGTGCTGGTATTATTTGATTACTTTCTTGGTTTATATGAAACAAAATTCAACAGTAGAGCAAGAACAAAGAATCTTGCCTCTAGTGCCCTGTTCAAACTCTAGCAGATCCACAAATCCTGACTTAAATCCAAAATGTATTTCAAATTTCATAAGCTCAATTCCCATCACATGGTCCAATTACATTGTCCAATTATCTTCACTCTATTTATAAATGAAGACAGAACCCCAGACTTCTAGGGGCTGCTAAACCTGTAAATATGCTATTGATCATAATAGGAATCACTGGAAATTAGGTTCTGGGTCTATTTTTAAGACTATCAAAAATGTTAAATTCTACTTCTCATTAACAAATGGCAGCAGGCTGCACTGAATCTACAATACACGGCAGTTTTCCCCAAGCCCCTCTCTGACGCATATAAAGACATCATTCACTTACTCCCAGCAAATTGCGTGGAACGTATCCTTCCTTGTCGTTCAGGCGGGCCCACCACCATTCAATCTCATCTTCGTCTTCCCTGCGCACGATTGTCATGCAGTCTCCTTCTTTCATGGGCAGCTCGTCATCATTCTGAGGTTCATAGTCCCAGAGTGCATAAATGACCCCTTTATTCATTATGCCCATTTTCTCCTGAACTCCTAAAATCATGTAAGATACAGCACAGAGTAAGTAACTCAGAGGATACCACGCTCAGAACCTGCAGCTCCATGAAACTAAATGAGAAGTAATGGGGACCTGCTGGAATGAGAGAAACTACTACATTAAACATTCAACAAATAAACTTCCTGGGGACTGAGGAAGGAGAGGAAGGCCAGCAGGGTAGAAGGAACATATAAATGACAAGTTAATGTATGCTATTAGCTTTAAACCAGCTCTAAAACTAACCAACACTTTATAAGCAGCTCTCAAAACTACTCTCACACAGAATACAAAAACAATTACAAACCCAGGAATGAAAAAAACAACTGCTCAAGTCTAGAATATTAAGAAAGTGAATGAGCCATCTGTCAAATTTTAGCAGACTCACTAAGTGTAATGACCAAGGAACTCTGGGATCATTTTTGTTCTCTACCTAAAACTTAAAGCAGGCAGAGAAAAAAGAGTGTTGTGCCTGTTAAAGTGGTTTCTATCAATTTCCAAATAAGGAAAGATGGAAGAAAAATATATATAAAATGTTAGAATGCAGAAATAGGGTATTAGGTATTAGGAAATAGGTATTAGGATATAAAAGTCTATGTATAGTCAACTTGAATGAGAATCAGAATTCTAAAGGTCCTTGAAGTCCACAAACTGGGGGAAGGAAAAAAAAAAAAACCCCAAATGCTCACTTTTTACCAAAGTTAACAACAGATCTGCATATGAACTAGGACTGCAGGTTTCATCTTTCTCCATTTATACCTCCCTATCCTCTAAGGTGAGGCTAATAAGGAGTAGCAATCATCAACAGGCAGGCAACACAAGGGAAGGGGAGGAGGAATTAGACAACAATCTCCTGAGCAAGGCAGACTTCATTATTATTTTCACTTTTTAGAAAAGCCAGGATCTGCTTGCTTATCAATAGTCAGGTCTTTCAACTTATGTGAACCTAAATTATTAATTATAAACTTATTTTTCCTGTGTCAGTTAATGATGTAACACACGCTACTTGTCTCTCACTTTGGGCAAAATTAGAAATTAAATCATTCTTTTCCAAAAGAAAGCTCTGCCTCTCTAGAGGGTCAGGTTTCTACTCATGGGGACAAATGAATTTCCAACCTTCCTGTTTATATAAGACATGCAAAATATGAGGGATTCACAAGGACAATGAGACTTGGTACAATCATGATTTCACTAAGTTTTAAAGCTGGTCAGATTTGTTATCGGTTTGGGATGGAATGATGCACTTGAAATAACAACTTGAGTCTCAATTCCAGGAAAATCATTAGACATGAAAGACAATTTCTCATTGTTTATCAAACAAAGAGTTACAAATTATTGTTTTAAACAGTTTCTGAGGGCCTAAAAACATGCTCTACCTCACTGGTAATTTGGGAAATGCAAACTAAAGCCACAATGGGATAGGATTCCAAACCCACCGAAGGTTAGAGAACACGCTTGACAGGCCTCCCTGTGACCTGCGACTACTTCTAGAGACACCAGGAGATGAGGACAAAAATGGTCACCAGGGCAGAAAGAAGGAAGCAAGGAAGAGAGGGAGGGCGGGAGGAACGAAGCGGGAAAACAACCCAATGTCTGCCCGAAGTGAAGTGGAAATGTAACTTGTGGTAGAGTCCCAAAGTGGAACAGCAGCCCAGTGAAAAGAAACGTCAGCTACAGGCAACACCACCAGTGAATCTCAAAAGCCACAGTGAAAAAAAAAGAAGCCAGAGCATCACTGGTATGGTTTATTCTAATATAAAGGTCAAAACCAGGCAGATAAACAATATTAGTTGTAGGAGTCATAGAGCAGTGATACAACTATTGTTATCAATTCCAGGGGGCGGTCACGTCCCCATCGATGGCTGAGAAAGCTCAGGTTCTGTTTCCCAGGCTGGATACCTGGACGCTTCACTGTGTTCAGTCTAGTAGCGTCAGTAGCATCTAGTACGCATCAGAAATGCTCTCAGTATCCATGATACATTTCACAAATTTTTTAAATTTCTGGTCAAATGTCCTTAAATGTTTTTAAAAATCATATTTCTTACTTAAATATAGCTCAATCACCAATATGAGCCATATTTTTTTAATATATGTTTTTAATAAAACAAAACACATATAATGCTGATTTTTAAATACAATAATACATCAGAATTATTCTTTGATCTAGAGTTCAGAACATAAACAGTAAATGATCATAATACCAACAATAAAAACTAAGAGCTAAGAGATAAAGAAGAGAACCTGAGATCTGTGGCTCTGCCTCTGCCACCCCTCCTTCTCTCCTAGAGCCTGAAAACTGGCCTAGTGACACATGGAGAGCAGTCAGAGGAGACATTTCACCTTGGGCACTTTCCCATGTCTGATGCTTGAGTGGTTCGGGGTCCTGGGACCCGCCGCCTCATTTGTCTCTGGCTTTATCCCTTCTCCCTTCCTCTCGGGCCAGTCTAAAAACAAATACTAACCTCAAGTCCTAAGATTTGTGAATAAAAAAAAAAATTCTTCCCTGTAAATAACAATGCCAACCAACATCTATCCATCTAAAACTTCAAGTCCATTTTTCTCTGGGTACAGCACTGATGTTGTTATCCATTAAATCATAAACTCAAAAATAAGAGAACAAAAGAGTCAAAAAATTAGCTCTAAAGTATATGTGGTCCACTTTATGACGTCTGATTTAGCAGGAAAACTTGAATCAGTTGGATTCTTATTCCAACAATGCATTTCTCTTGATCATCTTAGAAGGGGGGAGGAGAGTTCTGTGTACTTACGCACAAAGATACAGCATCATTTCCCAAGTACTGAGGCCTTACCAGAGGATCTTTTGATGGTCAAAAGCTATTAATCTCGCTAGATGCAATGCTGCATCACTGTCTTTTGTTGGTAAAGATGTCCCTGACAATAGTTGCTTCTAGACACACACACACACACACACAAAAGCTTCATTCACATCTGAGATCAAGGCTGCCCTATTTTCAATGCCTAGGACAATGTACCAACACAAAATGCTTTCCCAAATAATAAGTGAAAGTAGCTCAGTCGTGTCTGACTCTGCAACCCCATGGACTACAGAGTCCCTGGAATCCTCCAGGCCAGAATACTGGAGTGTGTAGCCTTTCCCTTCTCCAGGGGATCTTCCCAAGCCCAGGGATCGAACCCAGGTCTCCTGCACTGCAGACGGATTCTTTACCAGCTGAACCACAAGGGAAGCCCAAGAATACTGGAGTGGGTAGCCTATCCCTTCTCCATTGGCTCTTCCAACCCAGGAACTGAACCAGGGTCTCCTGCACTGCAGGAGGATTCTTTACCAACTGAGCTATCAGGGAACACCCAAATAATAAGAACACTTATCAAGTGATACCCTAAAGATATAGGATACACGAATGCAGTAATCAATACGTGTGTATCTAGTTGCTCCATACCATACAGAAATTGCGAGCACTGGGTGTAGCCTTCTTCCATCTCCTCACACTTATCAGCAGCCGTCTGCATGTCACTGTAGGTCATGGCAAACACAGCGGCTCCTGACTCCACCAAGAACTTGCACACCTGGACGTTGTTGCAGGAGGCAGCGCAGTGCAGCGGGGTCCTGCGGAGAAGGACACAGCAAGGGCTAGAGACGGTTTCCTACACTGAACGACAACTGCTGCGACAGAGGATCTGCAGAGAGAGTTCTCAAGTCTGTCATCTACCAAGCCCCTTCTGCAAACCTTTCACACAGATTTTTGAAAATCAGTTAAGCACAGATATCTGAGCCCATCTGAGAATTACAGAGCCACAAAGGAAAATGTCAGAGTGCTGGGCTATACCAGGGCCGGGGCAGCACGGCAGGTGAGAGGAATCAAGTACTGGAGTGAAAGGACATGAAATGTGTCTGATAATCTAAAGCAGGATAAAATGCATTTAGTTCCACGCTCTGCAGCATCCAGTCTAATTATTTCTGCCACAGTGGAGGCTGTAAGTCTTTAACAGGCCCTTCCTCGAAACATGCACCTTTAAAATCCCTTTTGAAGAAACTAAGTTGCATCTAGAGAACTCCCTTCATCCAACGCTTAAAATCCTTACTAAAACTTAATTGGGAAAAAAAAAGTTGCCAATTCAATTTAGACCAGAAAATATGACTGTAAAATACACAATTTCAATCTCTGGTGAGCAGATACTTATGAATACCATGACAGAGAATCTTCTCTAGCACCTCAAATGTTTTGTAATGTATTATAAATGACTCCAGATTCATAGGAAAGGTGGAAGAGTCAGGACCACTGCTCAAACTCAAAAGACAGGCTTGAGGACATTAATCAGGCCCTGAAGTACATGAGATTTCACTTGTTTACCCTCTTCTTTCCTCCCCTCATCATTTTATTCCCTTTGGGTCTTTCAGAATAGAAATTATTTCCTATCACCTGTCCCAATCACTGTGTTCAATAGTTTGGTGAATATTACTATAGATTTTTGAACTGCGTGGCTTTTTTAATAGTGAATAATTATACATAATCTAAACTCCCAATATTAGGAAAACAAAGGCATTATGACACATTAAGAGTTTGTTTAAGTTAAACTAAAAAAGTAGGTATGAAAAAGACAAATAGTACATTGTATCACTTACATGTAGAATCTAAAAAATAAAACAAACAAATGAATACAAGAAAACACGCAGACTCACAGAACAAACGCGGTTACCAGTGAGTAAAGTGCAGCAGGGAAGACAGCAAGACAGGGATGAGAGACTGAGAGGCACAAACTACTGTGCGTAAAATAAATACGCCACAACACAGGAGGCAGAGCCAATATTTTAAGAATAACTATAAGCAGAATATAATCTATAAAACCTTTGAATCCCTATGCTATACACCTGAAACTAATATAATATTGTAACTCAACTATATCTCAATTTAAAAACACAAAACTCTACTGAGAGCTAAAATAAAAAAAAAAGAGAGAGACATAAAAAACTATATATATATGTACACACACACACACTCATAAATGAGCTTGAAGGAAATATATTAAAATACTGATGGTGGGGTACACATGGCTTATGTTCCTCTTACTTCTCTGTTTTTGCATGTTTCCATATTGGGCCCATATTTTATACATATTAATTTTTTTAAACTACAACCAAAATGCTTCTCAGAGTATCATTTATAACAAAACAAAAAACTGGAAAAACAACAAGGAGGAGACAGTTACAGTAAGCAAGTCACAGCCAAGTGGTAGGAGAAGAGGCTTTTTCAAATCTATGCATATGGGTGTCTGCAACTTATGTGTATACATGTAAATTTGATATTACAATTATTTCCATAGCAAGAGAAAAAATAACCTATAAAATTAAAATACTTCAGTAAACATGGCGTGATTTACAACTTAAAAAAATTTTCATATAGAAAGAAGTAAATTTTTGGTATTTTTTCCAAAAAGAAAGCATATCATTAATTTAAAATTTTATTTTTTCAAAAAATGAAATACAAAATTTACTATCCATTCAGTTATCCTGATAACTACAGTTATCAGGAGTGACAGTAACTTATTTGGGCCTTTGATATTATTAGTTAATAATAATGCATTATCTTATGAACAATAATAGTCATTATTTGCAATAGTATCTCTTGGGTTTTATCCACAAACCAGTTCCACAATATGCTCCATGAAAAATGGATTCCACAGTCAAAAATATTTGGGAAAGGTTATAAATTATTCAATATGACCCCCTCTTAAGAGGCATATGGTAGTTTCAGTGAGGTGGAAGGAAGCTGCTTAAATCAGCATTTCTCAGATCTGCTGAAACATGCCAGTGAGCTGTGTACCACCTTGAGATATTTCTTATTTTTATTATTTAACTACTAAACTTCTAAAACTCCACCTGCTTCCAGAATGGGAGTGAGCGGGCTGTTAACATGAGGACATCTTAATTCCTTGAAAGCATCTCCCACGGCTCTCCTTCTAGATTATAAACAGCATGAGGACGTGCACTGACATCCTTCTTTCCCTTCCAGAAGCACCTACAACACTGCTCATCTGCTGCCTACACAGCAGATACAACTGATGCCAGAATGCAGTTTAAAAGAAAATCTTACCATCCATCACTGTCAGCAGCATTGACATTCACACCAAACTGTACCAGGAATTTCACAATTTCGGTGTGACCTGCACACACAGCATTATGAAGAGCTGTAATACCTTCATCATTAGGCAGGCTTGGGTCATCAACCTGTGACGTCAATAAGAAGGGTGACTGTTACTCAAATTTCTTGTCACCTGAACAATCAACTATTAGCTGGCTCTTTAGGACTAAGAGAACTGAAAGAGACTCTTGTATCAATTGTTTTTTTTTTTTTTTAAGAAAATCATAATTAAAACCTACAGAAGCCAAAAAAACTGTACCAAGAACAGTTCTAGAAGATAGACATTAAGTAGGCACTCACTATAAAAAGGTTTTTTAAAAACTGAAAAAGTCCCAGAAACTATAACCTTACAGTCATTTTTGTTTATTTATCCTCCAACTTCCCACCACAAATTAGCGTCTAAGCAGAAGTCACATTTCCCATAAAGAGGAAGAAAGGTCAAACTAAAAATATTTTAAATGGCAGGCTTCTGAAAAGTAGGGACCACAATTGAAACCACTGCAGAGTACAAATCCATACCTGAACAATTTTTAAAGGAGGGTCATGATCTCCCTGGGAAAGCAAAGTAACCCCAGAGAAAACTGAACGTCCACATTATTGAAACTGTTAACAGCCACACTCTTAAAACAGAGAAGCTGGTTGTGGAGCTTGCTCAAGAGCTCCTCTCAACAAACCCAACTCCCAAAAGAGAAAACAATGTAAACTACAGTAGCTTCCTGATCAGAGCTTTAAAACAAAATACAAGGTCGTATTTATGAAATTAACTAATTCAAGCCATACCTCATAAATAATTCTCTGTACAAGGTCAAATTCTCCCTCCAAAGAGGAATCTAGAAGCAAAGCAAGAGGGTTGAATTTCACTCTCATCCCATGAGCGATCCGCTCGGAACCAGTTTTACGCAAGTTTGTCCTTTTGCCCTGCAGAAGAAACACGCGGAAGATTTAAGAGACTGAAACACAACAAAAAGGAGAGAAATAACACCTCAGCTGAGCTAGTAAACAGAACTTTAAAACATATATGTTTAGCACATTTTATTAAAGTGCAAATTATGCTAGAAAATATATAAATCATAATAGATAGCTTAATATTTATATATGCACATAATAGAGTGGGAAGAACTTAACTCTTTAAAACTTAGTGAAGGGAGCGGGGATCGGGATGGGGAATACATGTAAATCCATGGCTGATTCATGTCAATGTAGGACAAAAACCACTACAATATTGTAAAGTAATTAGCCTCCAACTAATAAATGGAAAAAAAAAAGTTTATGGAATTCAGCAGTGGGGGAAAAAATAAATAAATAAATGCACATTACTTGATTTTTAAAAACATATCTTATTAAAAATTATTGGGAGACTGGTCCCCAGTTCACTATCCTGGACAGTTTTCTATTTTTTGCTTTATAAATTCAGTTTCTGGTGAGAAAAAAAAAATGTTAAATTGTCCAAGAGTGAGTCCCTGAGGGTTTAAAGATGTGGTAGGAGGTGGTCTTGCAGGCACAACATTTCTTTGCTCTTAATAATTCAGGCAGATTTCACATTTCAGTACCAAATGTATCTGCCTGTTTAATATAAAAATAAAGATATAAAATACTCAAAAAAAGAAACCACTTAGTGAAATCACATTTGGGTAACACTGGGCTAAGAGTAAAACTGTAAAGCAGGCTGGATATTTGTTGAGGATCAAAATTAGCCAAGACTGGTCTTTAAATTACCTAATATAGTAGAGCAAACCCCACATGATTAATCTGGGCAAGAGCACAAACTCTAAATTGCGACAGACAGCTGACATTTATGAAATGATTATTCCTTTATTCTTCACGAAAACTCTATTATCCCATTTTACAGATAAGGAAATTGAGGCACACAGCCAGTAAACATCAGTCAGAGATGGAATCAAATCCAAGTAATCAGGCTTCTTCAAAACCCTTCCTTTTAACCATTTCACAGCATAAAGCCTCTGTGGGGCTGGAGGGGAAGTATATTATAAGGAAAAATATAAAGATCAGTCTGACTTTGATAAACCAGGGAAGAATCCTACAAGTCTTAAAATGCTATCACTATTTTATATTTAAAAATTTAACTGTATTCCAAGATACACAGATAAATTAATCAAGTCTTCTCTACATTATTATATATCAGGCTTAAAAAAATTAGGCAACCAGATCTAACATTCTCTCTAAGATAGGTTTCTTAAATACAACCAACAGAGTAGAAACATTTCCTAGGCTATAACAGACCACACTTCTCTTTCTTTAATTTTAGATGTGGAGAACAGTATACTGAGTTTTGAAAAACATTAAGTGGCGATCAGTATATTTCACAAATGTGCAGTGGCTAAAATGCTGTCTCTTGAAAAAAAAAGATGTGTAAATATTACATGGCAGTGATAATACAACTCATAAATAGTACAGTCATATCCACTTTCAAACAAAAGTACAAAATAAAGGCTTCTACTTAACATGAGCTAAGAAGGAAAAACTTTATATATCGGCTTCCTAGGAAAAAACAACAGAATCTTGCATGTTTAAGAGAATCACGCCTCAGAACTTAGAAGCACAAAATTGTTTTTAAAAAAATTATTAAGTTCTATTCTAAAACATTTCCCCTTACAACTCAATGTTCACTATCTAAAACTTTTAAACAAATGTTGACTGTAAACTAGTAGCTAAAGCAACTTTGGATAATCATTATTTTTGAATACTGCCACATTTAAAGATGTAATAAGGGATCAAATGTATAAAGCACTTAAAAAAAAAAAGCTTTAGCAATATTTATTTATTTAAATATTTTGGCCACGTGGCATGTGGGATTCTAGTTCCCCAACAAGGGATCAAAAACCCATGCCTCTTATATGGAAGTGAGGAGTCTTAACCACTGGATCCCCAGGAAGGTCCCTAAAGCAGTTTTTTAGAAATCCTTATAATATGCTATGTTGCCTTTGCCCAGGTTTTAAAAATTCACAGCTTGCATTCCTACTGAAATAAAATTGACTTCAAATTAAACTCTGAAAAAACCAACTTTAAAGACATTCTGGGGTTTTGATCTTCTCTCTACTTCAAAGAGGCATAATAAACTTCCAAAGAAAAGCTTAATATTTGGAAGGAGTCTGGGAGACATGCCCAAGTCAAAACATACAAAGCTTTAGAATAGCTTCATGTCATCTAAAATGTATGGGATGTGCAAAAGCAGATCTAAGAGGGAGCTTTACACACTTACTCCAAGAAACAAGAAACACCTCAAATAAACAACCTAATCTTATATCTAATGCAACTAGAGAAAGAAGAACAAAGAAAACCCTAAGTCAGCAGAAAGAATCACAAAGATTAGAGCAGAAAAGAATTAAATAGAGACAAAGAAAACAATAGGAAAGATGAATGAAACCAAAAGCTGGTTCTTCAAGAAGGTAAAATTGATCAATCTCTAGCCAGACTCATCAAGAAAAAAGGGAGAGGGCGCAAATCAACAAAATTAGAAACGAAGACGAAAAGTTACCACTGACACCACAAAAATACCAAGGACCTTAAGAGACTACTACAAACTCATGCCAATAATATGGACAACCTGGAAGAAATGGACAAATTCTTAGAAAGGTACAATCTTCCAAGGCTGAACCAGGAAGAAATAGAAAATATGAACAGACCAATTACAATTGCTGAAACAGAATAACTTAATGTCAGAGCACAAGGAAGCCTGAGGATCACCATGATACCTGGAGATTTCAAGCCAGGCTGAAGGTTAGGATGAGGCTAAACATTGTCCACCCCACTCTCTCCTAGGCCCCAATTCAAGCAGAACCCAGTTCTTCCAGAACCATTCCCAATTTTATCAATGTCAGAGGTTTGAGGTTCCATCTAAGTATGACACCGAAAATCTGAAAATAAATTTCAATGCTAGAAAAAGAAAAGTTTGAAAGAGTGATGTCACCAACAAGAAGTTAAACCAGCTGCCTTATTTCACAGAGCTAAACTAATGATCAAAAATTCCAAATGCAGTCTTTTCATTCCAGTGTTGCTTCCCTAATACGCATGCAACACCAGCTACAGAAGAAACAGCAGACACGGTATTTATAGGTCTAAGAACAAAACTTTTGTTTCCTTCATAAAGAAAGGGATTCTTCCTAAAAAGTGAAAATGTTCATGATACTGAATATACTGCATTTTGATAACATTTGTAAGATCCACTCTGTGCCAAGAGAATTGCAAAATAAAAGGCAAGCTGTGGAAGACATTTGTTACAATCAGCAGTTTAAACACAGATCTTCTTTTGTGAATGGCTGTAAGTACTCGCTGGTGTTTTGCTGAGTTGTGACCATCAGCCACCGAGAAGGCTGTGACAAGATAAAAGCTTTCTGCAATGAAAGGTTTTACTTACAGGAGGCAGAGAAACCTGCCCGGTGATCTCAGGTGGACGCAAGCTCAGAGAGTCTTCTCCTGGGCCTTCTGGTTCCCCAGATGGGTACGGCGGGGGTGGGTAGGGGGGGTACTCCTCCAGGTACACTTCCAGCAGAGGGGGTGCCTCTGGGTTTGGTTCTTCCACGCTGTTCTGGAAATTCGGGCTGCTGTCTGGGACTCCTTCAGGCACATACTCGAGGCCTGGAGGAGGAGCTGGCGCGTCACTGCTCTCTGTACTGGCGCTCCCAGCCTCCTCCAGGGACGCCGGCTCAGGAACCAGAGGGACCACCTCCTTCTCTGGCTCCACAGGCAAATACGGATTCTGGATCTCCAGCGGGCTTTCTGGGCTGGCAGTCCCAGAAGCAGACTTGGATGGGTAAGCTGGGACAGAAATGGTCTCCATGGCGGCGATGGTGGTCCTCTGATACAGAAGTTTCTGAATATTCGGCCCATTAGGGCCCTCGGGTTCTGTAATAGAGCTGCGTTTCTTTAGCGGCCGGGGTGCGTTCGACAGTTTCTTTCGTAGGGCTTCCAGGTCAGCATCACTCTGATTTCGGTAAGGATTAGATAGGAAAGGCAGTAATTTGGTCGGGCTGAGCGGCCGAGGAATCCTTTCATTTTCGTGGGTCTCCTGAACTGAAGAAACAGGCTCTGTTTCGGGTTCTGGGCTCCCAGGTTTGCCCTGGTTATTGGAATAAATGTTCTCTGGGGGCTGTTGGTTCTGAGCAGCAGCAATCACAGGCTTGCCATACACTAATTGGAATTGGGGGGAAAAAAAGCCTTGATTAATATTAAACAAAACTAGCAAATAACAGAGAGAAGTAACAATAATTAAAGCCTTTTTTAATTTCATAGTTATTACATCAATACCCTTCAATACAACTAATTATTTAAAATAACAAACAGAGCAAGATTTCCACCACTACATAATACATTTACGGTAGAATCAAACCCTCACTGATTGTAAACAGGCCTCATTATTTTATGAATCAATAAGAAAACGCTGCCAAGTACAACTGTAAGAAATCACTTACATAGCACCCACATTTAAAATGTTGAAATGCAAAATACATATATAAATAAAATGTCAAACTGTGAAAAGGATTTAGAATCAATGAAAACTGGTGATCCTTTCATGTGTCCAAATTTAAACATCTGTGATCCCATCTTTTACAGTTTTCAAAAGTAAATCAATGTGAGAAATCATCTGGCTCACAAAATTATTAATAACCACCTATATGGAAATGATGTTCCACTCCAGTGTTCTTGCCTGGAGAATCCCAGGGATAGAGAAGCCTAACGGGCTGTCATCTATGGGGTCGCACAGAGTCGGACACTGCTGAAGTGACTTAGCAGCAGGAGCAGCATACTTACCAAAACTAGTCCCCTTAGACATTCTATCATCATTATCTAATTCCCAAATTATTATATGAGCAGTTCACACCAAAGACTCATGAAAAGAGAAAGATGAAGTATGTATACAAATTCTCTGTTGTGTAATTACTTCCACAACATTTGGGGCCACAATCACATACTTATTTCGTAACTAGAAAGCCTTTTCATTCATTTAAAACATACTGAATTTTATTCTAGTCCCACAAAGCAATGACTCTTGAAAGGATTCAACAAATGACCAGACCATGTACATTTAACACAAAGTAATCTTTTGATGTTTTAAATTTAAGTAGTAGCTGTGTCCTCATTAGAACAACTTAAAATATAGTAGAGAGCATAAAAAAAAAACCCAACAACAAAGCCATTCACAGAGGTAGCTGTCCAATCCTCTATGCCCTAAGAACGTCTGGTCAGACCTCGAGCGAAGACACAGCATTCTGCATGGTAAATTACCCACAGGCACTCTTTCCCACTCACCAAGCGGCTTGTCCATGAACAGGAAACCAACACACACGGGAAATTCAACACAGGAGGTGATGTCATCCCTACAGGTCTTACTTATCTATTTCATTCATTTATTTCATTTTACTCATATTTTATTTCATCTACCTATCATTTTCAGCTGCCATAAGAGCTGGCATTTAGCACAGACTCCTTTAAACCCCCCATGCAGAACAGGAAAAAAGTGAAAGTGAAGTCAGTCGCTCAGTTGTGTTTGACTCTTTGCGACCCCATGGACTGTAACCCACCAGGCTCCCCTGTCCTGGGGATTCTCCAGGCCAGAATACTGGAGTGGGTAGCCATTCCCTTCTCCAGGGGATCTTCCCAACCCAGGGATCAAACCCGGGTCTCCTGCTTTGCAGGCAGATTCTGTACCATATGAACCACCAGGGAAGCCCTATGCAGAACAGAAGCCATACTGAAATAAAACTCTTAGGACAAAAGCAGCAGTCAAAGCAGGTACAAGTCACTGTGCTATTTACAGAAAGAGGGCAGCTCCAGCGAAGGGTAGAAACACATCCACGCAGGTGAAGATGAGATCCAGAATCTTACCGCTTGGAAAGTGGGGTGCTCGGGGATGGGGCTTGGTCAGCGCGCTCTGCACGGCCTGTTGGAAGTTTTTCCCAGGAGCCTGGTGCTGTGTGTACATGGAGTATATGGAGCTGGCGGCCACCGTCTGGGGTTTTCTGAAGGGTGGAAGGAGGGCATCCTTGGAAGGTTGAGGCGTGAAGGGTCGGACAGCGGCAGCAGGGGGACTCTCTTGCTTAGGACCTGGAGGAAGGGTCTGGTCTGCTGGGCCCACTGAAGGCCCGCCGGGGGCCAGCAGGACCCTCTGCTGCGGCACTGTGGGTTTGGGTTTACCTCCCATGGATGCAACAGCTGCTGACAACTGCGGAGCAGTTCCGTCTGGCTTCATGTCGGATGGTGACTGGTTAGTTTGTCCGAAATAAGGCAAATTTATCTGTTTTGGTTTTGATGGGACAGGAGGTGGTACCTTAGCCACATTTTTATTTGCAGCCTGTAAACACACACACACACACATACATACAATTAAAATATTGTATAACTGGGTACATGGAATGTTCTAGATAACCTAAGTTTTACAAGCATCAGTATAGACAGAAAAGACTAACTCTACATCGAAAGGTCATTAAAAAGTTTTAAATCTCTGAGTTTAATCACATGTAAAAGGACCTTCAGTAATGCAATACAATTCCTATCCGGTACAACTTCCTCTGAGTCACCCCTTCCTACTGGGGCAACTGTTTAAGTGTCCACTTGAAAACCTTTAATTGCCATTTTACATATTCACAGATGGCACCAGTAACTGAAAACCATTCCTGTTCAATGGAACTTTATGCAATCTGGGCCGTGTTGTAAAAAGAAAAACAAAAAAACCCCAAAAATACCCTAACTGGATCACACAGCCACAGCCTGGTCGTCAAAGGTTGGGATTCTAACAGTTATGGAAGATTTACCATCAAATTGCTTGATATTGCCTCAACCCCTTGAAGAGACAACATAACTAAGCAGTGTGAACACAGTGTTCTTTAATGCACTTGTATTTTTTAGAGAGTCACACAAAATAAGACCCACAAGCCAGTCAGACATGCTCCTCCTGTATGATGGGAGACCACAAAAACACTCAAGTAACAGAACTGAAAATAACAGAATGCAGTGATATTTTCTAATCTTCCAGACTTTGTTTCTTTATTCTCTCTCACATTAATACTTTCTCTTTTGAAAAATGCACGAAGAATTACTATAAAATGTTAAAACTGGGACATCCTCACATACCTGAGCATCCCTCAGGATGTCTTCACTGCTCTGGTTCTTCCTCAGGGTACCGAAGGCAGGTGGAGCGGCAGATTGGTCCACGGTGTCAAACATCGAAAAGGGACGCACTTTCTTCTCCTTCTCCCTCAACGGAACCTCTCCATCATCCACTGAAGAAGACAGGAAAACAAAAAATCACTCTAATAATCAAACTACTTGTGATAAAAATTTCTTATTCATGTTACTCTCACCACAATCTCTTTGAAATCCTATAGTCATTAAATGCTCTATTTTTAAATTAAGTTGATTAAGGAATAACCCCATACTACAATGCTCATACCTTAATTCCCTGGCTAAAGGAAGCTGTTCTGGAAATAAACACGGTCCCTGGTTTTAACACACTAAAAAGTAGCTATCTAAAAAAGAATACTTAGAGCCCTCAGACGGCCAAAAGAGAATACTCAGGAACAGCACAAGTAAACCTCACCTTGGTCTGGAACGTTCCCGGAGCTTTTAGACACAGAGGCAGAGGCTTGGCTAGAGAAAAGATCTGCATTTGGAGGAGTCCAATCAGGGCCAAGCAGATGGATTTTAGAGCCTAGAACACAGAAAAGTAGCTACAATAACCCAGCATGCTAAGGAGATTTTCAATGGTTCCCTTTGCTGCTAAGACGTTTAATCTCGTGAAAGTGAAAGTCGCTCAGTTGTGTCTGACTCTTTGCAACCCCATGGACTATACATATACAGTCCATGGAATTCTCCAGGCCAGAATATTAGAGTGGGTAGCCTTTCCCTTCTCCAGGGGATCTTCCCAACCCAGGGATCGAACCCAGGGCTCCCGCATTTTAGGCAGATTCTTTACCAGCTGAGCCACAGGAAAGCCCTTAATCTCTAAAAAATTGGTTTAAATCTCAGACTCATGACAAGCCCAGTAAACTTACTTAGAAACATCAGATTTTATACTTGTATTAACAACCTAAGCGTGTTCTCGCTTACTTTAAATAATCACAATCAGCATAAAGTCTGCTCGAAGCAGCAAGGACATGACTTCTCACAGGGTAAGAAAACATCACCATCACACCCAGAAAACAACTTCCAGTTTAGCAAACCAAGGGCTCGCTGGTGTGTCTTACATAACCACCACAAGTGATGCACGCACAACGAAAGCAAAAACGCAGGCTTTCAGCCCATGTTTCTGACCGCAGTCTTGAATAAATCAAAACATTCAAGTGTTTTCTAAACTGGCATTTAAGCTTCAAAGCCGCAGCTTTTCTTTTACAGAAGTAACTCTTTCTACAATAAAACCCAGACTACGTAGCACTACTGCATCACAGTGGTAATTACAGCAAAATAATAAATAATTTTAAAGTTAACTATTATTTACTCATAATAGTGGCTAGGGAAAAGACACAAATCTATTTTTTTCTCCTGAATATTAAGCTCGTTAAAGGATATTTTCACCCAGCTTTTCCTACAACTCTCCTTTCATTTTCTCCTCTTATTAATATAAAACTCTGGGGTGCAACCCCACCCTCCAAAATATCTGAGGACTACACAGAGAAAGCAAAGGTCACTAACACAAGGAGCCTCTTTCACCTTCACTTTTTAAAAAAATTTATGATTTTTTTAAATTGAAGGATAATTCCTTTACAGAATTTTGTTGTCTTCTGTCAAACCTTAACATGAATCAGCCATAGGTATACAATATCCCCTTCCTTTTGAACCTCCCTCCTTTTACCTTCACTTTTATCTCCCAGTGTTTCCTTTTATTCTAAACATTATCCGTAGGCAAATTCTCACGCAGAAGCACATACGAACAGTAAACACCAACCATCAACAGAGTGGACCCACCACCTCACAGTCTGTGGAGATGACAGCACTAACAGATATCTGGCCTTTTTACACAACAGGGAAAGTTCTCAAGTTGTTAACATCAGATCAAATTTTCTTTATTAATGAGTAGGAATTCAAACCAATTTTTAGGTTCTCAAAAACCTGATATTTTATTTCATTTCCTGAGCAGAACTATATTATTGAGCATTAAGAAAATTATCGTTTCTTAACCCCAAAGAACACAAGGAGGTTTTTAGAACTTCAACATGAACAAGCAATAAATAGGAAGACACCTTTTAAAACTCAAAACTTGAGGGGAAAAAATTTAAATTAAAAAAAAAAAAGACTTACTGTGACGCACAAACAAAAGAAAGGTATACAGAAATAAATAAATAAATAAAACTCAAACTTGAAGGGAAATCACAGTGAGGAGGGGAACAGCTAGGCCATGGAAGGACTAAGAAGTGCCTGGTTTTACCTTTTGCTTGCGAAGAGGCCCCAGATCTCATGTTGGGCAGCGTCTGGACTTTCATGGGCCCCTCAGAAGCCTGCATGGCCCCGGGCCCATCGGGCAGGGCTGGCTTCACCAGAAGTTCAGGCCGCGACGGGATCCGAGGCATAGTCGACGACTGGATGTAGGGGCCGACCGCCGCCACGCGACTCGGCCCCGACGCCCCCGGCTGGGGCACGTGTCCATCAGATGAGACCTTGTTCGGAGAAAGCACGGGGCCTTCAGTATTGCAAGTCAGGCCGGATCCAACTCAGAAAAACCCCTGACACCATGATCATTTTAACTGCTAAAATCCAGCACTTTCAAGATCTAGCCATCGAGTGTACCAGAAACGTCCCCCGACAAAAACACCCCCCGGTGAAGTCTCACCCACTCTTCATTACAAGAATTAGAAAGAAGAGCAGAGCTACGGAGGGGATAATATTAAAAGTACAAGAAAAGTGGACTCTCTTTCAAGGAGCCACAGGCCCTGTCTCTCTTCCAAGGATGCACCCAGCAGTGTTTCTGAAATATGCAAGCACCGGCCTCACTGGGATGGTCATTGTCCCCTCCCCCTGGCCCCGGCCAACCGCGCACTTACTGGAAGGTTCTCTTTCTGCTGCAAGGCCGCCTTCTTCTTCCACAGCCGGTCCCTGAGCTCATTAACACGCTTGTCCATCACCGCCACTTCTGAATTGCGCTTATTCAAACACTCCCTCTGTTGTTGCAGCTTGGCATTCTGCTCCTGGTTCAGTTTGTTTCTTAACTGAATAAAATTAGGGGAGAAAAAAGTTGCCAAGGAGTAGGCAGAAAAATTTCTCAAACAGATAATCACACGGTTCACTATTATATAATTTCTAAAAATGTAAGGTCCCTCCACACTTCTCATCTCATGGTTTAAAATGAAGTGTTAGACCACCAGCTGTGGTCACAATGAAGGCCTCAAGTTTCCTGTCTGAGGTATCATAAAGTTTATTCTGGATTCTGTGGAGCTTAGGTCTTCCTCCCCGTCCCCACCCCTTTAAGGAAAAGAGGTGGAAATCCAGGACTCCCTGGCCTGTATGTGGACAATGCTGTGGTGCTGGAGAAGAGGTGCCACTGAAATGTCACTAGAGGCCACTGTTTACCTGAAGCTCCTTGTAGAGCCGATCGAGCTCAGCCACCGCGGACTGGTTGTCATGGTGACCGTCAATCCTGCCGTTCTTCAGCATCTCCAGTTGTCTCGTAAGTTCCTCTACTTTTGACACAGCCAGAACAAGCTCCCTCTGCTTTTGCTGGAACAAACTATTCATCTGTTCAATTTCCTCCACTAAAGGAAGAACGAGAAAAGCAACAATTGTTGAAAAATGAGAAGGGATCGCTTCCCGGGCAACCTAAGATGTACCATAAACTTTCTCATAAAAAGCAAAGAAAATTTTCAGAAGTGTCCTAGAACCAACCGATTCCTTTATAAGCAACTGAAACCAACAAAGACATCTATAAACCAAATCACTAAAGTTTTAATTCAAATGGTATTATAATCAATGGAGCTATTAATATGAATAAAAATCCTTGCCTTCATTGAACCTTCAGTCACAAAAATATTTTGAGAGACAAAAAAAAAAACTACTACTCTATTTTCCTAAAAGCAACCTTGTCTAAAACATTCAATAGCTGAATTCAATTCAGGGGAACCAGCAGCTTCAAAACTTCAGTGAATTATACTTTTCCCAAAAATTCCTTTTAAAGTGACCTACATACAAAGTCTCATCTTAGTCCTCTTACTTACTACGAATTTACACAAACTTCCTACACCAGGGTTTTTCTATACGCAAACAGTTTGTAGCATTTAGCACTGTCATTTAGCACTGACAACTCACCAAGCTTCCCATTGCTTAGCCTCTTCTGTTCCACGTGGCCTTTAAGTGCTCTCACTTTTTTCAGCTTCGCTTCCTGATTCTCAGCTATTTCTTTGAGCCTCTTAAGCTTTTCTTGTTCAGCTGCTTGTTGCTGTTGACGCTGATCTTGCTGTTTCAAAAACTTCAACCGCTGTTCCTAAAGATATAAGCCATCATCAAACTTGTCATTTTAAACAGCAGACCACTAACCTACAATCACACCTTGAGATGCCCAGACTGACGTGTATCTATGGCATCACTCTGGTCTTACCATCTGTCCTCACCCTGCCATCAGAACCACCTGGGGAGTTTGTGAAAAACATGCTCCCGAGCTCAACCCTAGAATCTACTTCTTAAGGCGGTAAGATCCAGGAATCAGTACTGTTATCCACGTGGTCTTTTTGCAGCAAGCAAGCAGTGATCTGTGAACTAGTTTTCATGAGCTGCAGCCATTAATTTTAAGAAGGAGCTCAGGCAGAGATGGGAAGCAGTAAAAGAAAGTTATTAAATGACACACTTTCAAGTTAAATTTGGATTCAGACTCAAGCTCTGCCACTTATTAGCTATGAGACTTTGGGGCAAATTACATAACCTCATTGAGTCCACAAGTCTGTGTCTTCACCTATAAAATGAGATGATCACTAGTCCCTCTAGGGCTGCAGTGAGGATTCGATGCAACGTGCAATGGAAATCTCTGTGAACAGCATCTTACATAGTTAGGGCACACTCGGTACCCTTAGTAAAGAGCCAAAGAACTACTTTCTAAAGAATGCCTTTAGAAAACTGTAATTATGCAACTTACAATTTTATTCCTATTATATCTAAAATTTCAACTGAGGATAACAGAGCCACACAATTTATACTCAAGAGTAAACTTCTCATATCTGGGTGGCTAACACATACAAGAACACAGTTTCAAAATAAGACCTTGATTTTAAAGATTTATTCTGTTAACAATCGAATTTTTTATTTGAATTCATGTCCTTGCTACTCAAGGAATGCTGCATCAGCACCACATGGGATCACATTAGAAATGCAAAATGTCAGACCCCCAACCCACACCGACTGAATCAGAACATGCATTTTTAACAAAATCCCTAGGTGATTCATATGCACGTTAAAAGTATGAGAAGCAACGTTACACAGGATTTCGAAAAAGCTGGTGTCTAGCATCAAAAGTAGAAAAGGATGCACAGGTACATTTGGTGCCACTAACCCTCTGATGTATAAAAAAATAGCTACTGAATACCTTTAAATATTGTGTTTTCTACATGGGAACCATATGGAAAAGTTTGACTTGTAACTTCAATACATATTTTAAGTGTTAAGAAAAGAAAAGGATGCATAGGAACCCTACGAAGTATTACAGGGAAGGCCACAGTGCGTGCTGAGAATGATGTTGAAAAATCCCTGGCCATCACTTCAAAGCCGTGCTGGGGACCTTGCTACTCAAACCCTCAGGTGTCCACCCCAGTGTCAGTGAACGTACAGACCCTCAAAGGCTGGTCAGCAAAGACACTGAGTGTTTAGACCAGGGCTGACAGACTACACAGCCTATTGTCTGTGTTCGTAAGCAAAGTTCTCTTGGCACATGGCCACATCCGTTCGTTCACCCATTGTTTATGGCCGCTTTCCAGCCACAAATGCAGAGCTGAGACTGTACAGCCTGCAAAGCCTAAAATATTTCAGCCCTTCAGAAAGCCTGACGACAGCTGTAGACTATTAGCCCAAGGCTGGCAGGAGCACCCGCAGGAAGACTGCTTTTGAGAGTAATGGAGAAACTTCCCATATTTTCTCTGTTCAAGGAGAGGACAAGCTTTAATTTGTGGGTGGAGCATGTCCCCAAGTAGAGGCAAGCAGCCTGTTATCGGCGCCAAGTAGCAGCTGGGGACAGGTGAGCATGAGGAGACTGAAGTTCCTCCTGATTCAAGATGAAGTCAGCCCAGGCTAGCGCCTGCAAGCACAGCTGAAAGGCTCTTTACGCCTTCCCTGTTTCACTGACACTCAGCATAGCGCGGTTAACTTTGATCAAGATCGGGGCAAGGAGGATCTAAAACAACTGAATGATTTCAGGATTTCTACAAAACGCTACAGTGAAGAGAAGAAAGCACCACACGGCAGATACCTGTCAGGCTGATGTTATCAACTCATATTTGAGGGAACCAGCTTACTAGCAAGGGTGGAGTGCAAACAGCTTTACTTACACATGAACGGGAGTGGCCTGCTAGGTCTCTGAAAACATGGCCATTACCTTAGTGGCCAGCATTTGTTGCTGGGCCTCAATCTGTTGCTGCTGGCGGGATGCCATTTCCTGAAGTTCGGCAAGTGTCAGATCCATTCTAGGACTATTAACCTACCAAAAAAAGTGCAAATACTCCAACTCAGTATAAAATGATCATGGAGACTCCTCCCTCAAATCATGCAATCATGACAAAATTATTTGGCTATTTTTCTCCCATCATATTAAAGAAGTCATTAATTTTTATATTAATAGTCCCATATTGACTTAATAACATTTAAAACATAATGATACACAGACTCTTTTAAGTTGTAAATTTAAATTAAATAGTTTCAGTACTGACACAAATGGAACAATTTGGAATCACCTTGTTCTATAGTTAAATTAGGAAGGCAGTGTTTGACCATATCAAACATGATGTTGGGGTATTGGCAGCAAACTTGGAACACAGTCATCAAAACATCCTTTAAAAAACTGGAATTTAAAAAATTCAAGATACAGTAGGTCATCAGAGACAAAGCAAGATGTCTACTATACTCCCTAAACATCCATTCGACATGATCCTAAGAGGTTCTGGCTAGAAAGAAAGGAAGGCAAGAAGAAAGAAACTATATCCAGATTGCAAAGGGAAAAATCTTCTGTCTTTACTCAAAGACAATATAATCATCTATGAAGAAAAGTCTATGGAATCTATAAAAAGCTACCAGAACTAATAAGTTACTTAGCAAGAATGCAGAACAAAACATCAATATGCCGAAATCAACTATATCTCTATACAGTAGCAACACCCAGAAAGTGAAAAAAGGAATTTTTTAATATCATTGACAGCATAAAAACTATGAAGCACTCAAGAATAAATCTGACAGATGCTCAGGCCTGACACTGAAAACTTCAAAGCATGGCTGAGAGAGAGAAGACCTCTTTGGGGAGGAATAATGTGGTGCTTGTGAACTAAAAAGCTCAATGCTGTCAAGATGGCAGTGTCTCCCATAGTGACCTACAGAGTCAAGAGAATACCGACCCAAATCCCAGCAGGCTTTTTTTATAAACAAATAAATCAACTGGCAAATTCTACAATTTCATATGGAAGCACAAATGATACAGAATAGCCAAAACAACTTCGAAAAGAAGAGTTAGAAAACATACGCTGCCTGACTTCAAGACTAACCACGCTTTAGTAATCAATACATTGTGTTACTGATATCATGTTAGATAAACAGATCAATGAAACAGAAGGCAGAGTACAAAAACAGACCCACACATACACTGGTAATTGAGTTAAGAGAACGGGCAATTGAGTAGAGAAAGAATAGTCTTTTCAACAAATACTGCGTGTACAACTGGATATCCACACACAATAAACAAAATGCACTTCTCTCACAATATATGCAAATGTTAATTCAAAATGGATCCTAAACTCACATGTAAGATCTAAAACTTCTAAGTTGATTAATTATACTGTATTGAAGTCATAGACTGGGAAAAATATTTGCCAATTATCTAATAAAAAACCTTGGATCCAGCATATATAAAGAACTCTTAAACTCAATAAGGAAGCAAGCAACCCAATCATGAAAAAGATAAGCAGAAGAGGTGAACAGGAAGTTCCCTAGTGGTCTAAAGGTTAGGATTCAGTTATTTCACTGCCATGTCCTGGATTCAAATCCTGGCTGGGAAAGTGAAATCCCAAAAGCCCTGCAATATGATTTAAAAAAAAAAAGTGAACAAATATTAACACTTCACTAAAGACAATATATGAATGGCAAATAAGCACATGATAGATGCCCAATACCATTAACCATCAGAGAAATACAAAATAAAACCAGAATGTACTACCACCACACACCTAGCAGAAGCCAAAATTAAAAGGACTGACCATACCAAATGTTGGCAAGGATGTGGAAAAACTAGAACTCCCTGATGAGGACGATAAAACAATCACTTTGGAAATCAGTCTGACAGCTTCTTAAAAAGTTAACAAATGAACCAACCATTCTACTCCTAAGTATTTACTTAAGAGAAATATTAATAAAAGCATATGTCCATACAAAGATGTATACCCAAGTACTTATCACAGCATGATATAGAATAACTGTAAACAATCAAAATGTCCATCAACAGAGGAATGGATAAGGAGTGGTATAATCAGACAACAGATTATCTCTCAGCAATACAAAGGAATCAACTACTGATACACAACAAAATGAATAAACCTCAAACTATTTATCCTGAGCAAATGCAGACAGAAAGAGTATATACTGAATGACTCCATTTATCCTAGATTCTGGAAAACAAAACTAATTTATGGTGACAGACAGCAGACCACCTAGCAGTCCCCTGAGGATGGGAAGGGAGGCAAGAAGGAACGATTACAAAAGAATATAAGGAAACTCTTTTGGGGGGGGGGGGTGATCAAATATGTTCATTATCTTGATTATGGTGACAGCTTCAGAGGTGTACACAAGTCAAAACTCATCAAAATGTATACCCAACATGTGATCAGCTTGTTTGTTGTTGTGTTGTGTTAGTCACTTAGTCATGTCCAATTCTTTGCGACCCCACAGAGCCTGCCAGGCTCCTCTGTCCATGGAATTCTCCAGGCAAGAACTCTGGAGGGGGTTGCCATTCCCTTCTCCCAGGGATCTTCCCAACCCAGGGACTGAATGAACCCAGGTCTCGCACACTGCAGGCAGATTCTTTATCATCTGAGCCACCAAAGAAGCCCTATGTATAGTTTATTACACGTCAATTATATATTAATAAAGACATTATTTAAAAACCCAGTGAAGGGGGCTTCCCTGGTGGCTTAGTAGTGAAGGATCCACCTGCCAATGCAGGAGATACAGGTTTAATCCCTGGTCCGGGAAGATCCCATATGCTACGGAGCAACTAAGCCTGTGTGCCACAAATATTATTGAGCCTGTGCCCTAGAACCTGGGAACTGCAACTATTGAAGCCTGTGGGCCAGAGAGTCCATACTCTGCAACAACAGAAGTCACTACATAAAAAGCCCACACAATGCAACTAGACAGGAACCCCTACTTGCTGCAATGAGAGAAGAGCCCAAGCAGCAACAAAGACCCAGAACAGCCAATAAATAAATTTAAAAAAATTTTTAAGTGTTATAATATTTTCATAATTTAAAAAAACTAAAAAAAAAAAACAAACAGTGATGGGACTTCCCTGGCAGTCCAGTGGTTAAGACTCCAAGCTACCACTGTGGGGGGCACGGGTTTGATCCCTAGTCGGAGAACTACAATTTTGCATGTCTCACGGCAAGGCCAAAAAATAAATAAATCATTTAAAAAAAAATAAAAATCCAGTGATGGGGAAAGATACATTGTGTCAAGATACACTGAAATCTCATTAACAGTCAGACCATTTTTGTTATCCTCATATCAGCCTTTCATCACTAAGATAACTATGAGATCAAAGAAGAGAAATAGGAAGAATTTGGGGAAGGTGGAATAAAAGCAGTGTGGATTGGAGAGGTAATTTAGCTAATCCCTAACAAGGTTAAAAATTCTAAGCTCTGAAAAGAAAATGTCTACAAGGAGTCCCAAAGACACCTGCTAAAATTCATATGCAATAGCAAGAGCATTAATATATCATTAATGCTAAAAGCAATAACAGCAACAAATAAAATCACCAAAAAAAACAAATACTTCCTCGAACTTATTCAATACTTGTTCTGTATTTGTGATATATCCAGCATCTGACTTTTTTTAACAGCCACGTTGTTGTTGTACAGTCATGAAGTCGTGTCTCTCTGTGACCCTATGGACTTTTAGCAGTCCAGGCTTCTCTGTCCTACACTATCTTCCAGAGTTTGTTAAAATTCATGTCCATTGAGTCAGTGATGCAATGTAACCATTTCATCCTGCCATCCTTTCTCCTTTTGCCTTCAATCATTCTCAGTATCAGGGTCTTATCCAGTGAGTCAGCTCTTCACATCAGGTGGGCAAAGTACTGAAGCTTCTGCTTCAGCATCAGTCCTTCCAATGAATATTCAGGGTTGATTTCCCTTAGGATTGACTGGTTTGATCTCCTTGCAGTCCAAGGGACTCTCAAGAGTCTTCTCTAGCACCACAGTTCAAAAGCATCAATTCTTTGGCACTCAGTCTTCTTCATGGTTCAACTCTTCCATCCAAACATGACTACTGGAAAAACTACAGCTTTGACTAAATAGACATTTGTCACCAAAATGATGTCTCTGCTTTTTCAATTGCTGTCTAGGCTTGTCACAGCTTTCCTTCCAAGGAGCAAGTGTGTTTTAATTTCATGGCTGAAGTCACCATCCGCAATGATTTTGGAGCCCAAGAAAATAAAATCTGTCACTGCTTCTACTTTTTCCTTTTCTATGTGCCATGAAGTGATGGGCCCAGATGCCAAGATCTTTGTTTTTTGAATGTTGAGTTTCAAGCCAGCTTTTTCACTCTCCTCTTTCACCCTCATCAAGAGGCTCTTTAGTTCCTCTTCACTCTTTGCCATTAGAATGGTATCATCTGCATATCTAAGGTTGTTGGGTATTTCAACAACCATAGAGATCATTAATCACTTTCTCACGAAATAAATTTAAAATAAGCCTTTAAAAAAGGGTTGCCCTTAATCACCTACTGAATAAAAAAGTAACAGTGAATGAAATTAAAAGTTAAAAAAACAGCATCACTGTGGTCCAAACACAAATGGGTAAAATGATCACTTACGCCATTCTCCTTTCTTCGATGTTCACCTGGAACTTTTACACCATTTCTTTTTAAACTTGGATCCTGAGACCTTGGTCCACTCACTAAGCACAAAATTCAAAAAGTATGCATTAACACTAGAGGTGACAGATATTTTAAGTACCAGTTCATTTCTCAGTTATGTTATTAATGTTCTCTAGTACTTTAAGTTGAAAATATACCTAAAATATCAATACTTTCTAATACCAATGAAGTTAAGGTCTCACAGATTCAACCTGTTCTAGAAAACTTTACTTGGAACAGTGAATAGTCAGCACTAGAAAACGTCACATGCTAACCATTCCCTAGAAAAGCTGCATGAGTCAGGTGCTAAAGGAGAAAAATTAAGAATATAAATATACTTCTTATTATGGGTCACTCATACCATTTGCCTATACTGTCTGTTCCCAGTTCTCTATTTAGCTACTCAGAAATAAAATTGGGAATAGTCTCACTGAAAGAAATAGGTGAAAATTAATCAACCCACCCTTGTACTCATTAAAGTGTGTGTAACTTCCACGGGAAGGAAGCAATTGAAACAGAACAAGTAGTGTTTCAAATTTTGCGGTAATTCCTAAGTACTAGCAAGTACTTCCCCATTTAAGTAAAAAAAAATTCATTTTCTTAGCGTGGCAAAGTACTAGTTGGCAAACTGTACATTCTGCTTTTTTGGGTAAAAAGAACTTTTCAGGTCCAAATATATGTTTCTCAGTGTCACTTAATGTATCATGATGAGAAAAGAGTTTTAACTTAAACTGATAAATTGCAAAATATCAAAGAGAGTTTCTTAAATACATAAAATTAAGCTCATAACTGTACTTACCAGATGTTAGAGAAAAAAAACTAAACTACTTCCCAAGAGGTTTTAGATTAAAATTTCTTCTGAATCAAATGTTTGTTGTATCTGCCTGGAAGCTTGGCACAAATTCCCACAAATAAGTAAATAAATATGTCTATCCTCAGAGCCATGTACCACACTTATACCTAATTCCAACATTTTCTCAGCTTTACTTTTAAAACTGTTCATTTTTCTGGCAAAATAGCTTAGGTACCTGTCACAATATTTCTGCTAGAAAAAAGAAAAATCTATCATTCAGGAATAATTGCTTTCTTTGCTGCCTCCAAGAGAGAGCAACTGAACTGGCATGTTCAGTCACATAATTAGAATAAATAATCTCATATTAAAAAAAGAGAAAAAGGTAATGGATTTCCATGGTGGTGGTCCAGAGGTTGACTCAGCGCCTTCACTGAAGGGGGCATGGGTTTGACCCCTGGTTGAGTCACATGCTGCATGGTGTGGCCAAAAAAAAAAAAAAGTCATACATTCTGGGTCACAGGTCCTAGTTAAACCAGAAAAAGAATACAGTAACAGTCTCTTAATCTGTAATCTAGAGTCTACAACCACAAAGGTTGACACTAAAGAGCAATCCTGTTTTATCCCAGTTTGACACTATGTGGCACTGGTGTTTTGCAACAATGTAAAAACAGCACCTTTATCTTCAGATTGTATTTCTCACATTGCAGACACACTGAAACTGCATATTGCACCATTGAGAAGCTATTTAATAATTTACCAGGTACCACAGAGGAAGATATTTGAACTGACGGATGAAGGGAGAAAATTCAACTAATTGATTAACAGGAGATATATCCAATAATGTAAATAAAGAGCAAAATAAAAATTAGATGCAGATGTCAAAATCACAAAAAACAAGGCAGCTTTGGGGGGAAAAAATGCATGTTTATTTAAAATAGAATTACAGACACAGTGAAGCCCAAAGGCCGAGGAACCAGCCAGGATAAGGAGACTCAGGTTCCCCTCCTGGCTCTGCCTCCTGGTATGTGGCCTCTGACAAGGCATCTCACCCCTAAGTATCAGCGTTTCTCATTTATAGAGCAGAAGAGACCAGACTAAGTCAATTCTGGGGTCTCTCACACCTCTGATAATGTCAAATGGCTGCCATATGGACATCTGTACTAAAGGAATAAAACTTAAATTCTATAACATGTAATAATTAACCTCTGTTATCGGCATTCTAACTCTCAAGAATTTTTCAATATATACTAAAGTCACAAACCTTCAACTTTCCACTTTAAGCATCCCAACATTTTTAAAAACACCTAGTAACCCAGCTCCAACCAATGGCTTTCCGCTGAGAAGGCTTCCCTACAGATCTCAAGACTTGAAACTGTTTTCTCTCCTACATCCTATGAGACCTCCAGAGTCACAGGTTTGACTGTGTTCTCAATGTCTAGTGCTGCTTTCAGCCCACCATTTCTGATCTCCACATTTCACCTTCTACCCTCTGCTTACCATCATCTAGAAACTCTGGTCACAACTCTCAGTCATAGCAGATGTGACCATATGACTCCCCCCCCCCCCGGTTCTCTTTGCCCAAGTCCCCCCTTCATTTTGGAAGACCTCACCATCTAAAAGCTTGCCTCTCATATCCACAACTTCCTGTCTCCTCTCTAATTCAGGTTTATTTCATGGTCCAGTACAAGACTACGTTATCTAGAAATGCCCTCTTCCTGACATGTTAAATTCAAACTTCTTACTTTTTGACCGCAGTTACCTCTCGCTATACCTGTTCAATAACCTGAAACTTGCAGTTTCTTTCCCTGCAGCCCCTCTGCCTTCACTTCATCCCCATCTCTGCCTGAATGCCATCTCACCAACATCCTGTTTTTCCTTGTCTCACCAACTTTCCACTGAACTTGTCTGGCCAAATGCCAACCTTGGGTCCATCCCACCATCTTCTCCTCTACAACCCTCTGGGTTGCAGAGCACCACTGCGGCAAAATCGCCCGTGGGCTCCTGGTGTCTCATCTCCACTGTCCTCTAGGGGCCCTGGCCTGCCGGTCCCCTGGCCACACTCTCTCCTAGTCTCCACCAGGGCCTCCTCCCTCAGAGAAAACAAGTGTTTTCAGATGAGAGGCCCCTCCCACTGCTCCCATAGAGAGCACCCATTTACTGCCTCTGGGAAGCTTCCCTTCCACTCTGCTAAAATGGAACTGACCCTTCCCTTACCCTCCTAACTCACCCCTCGCTCCCCTCGCCCCCAAATTTCCCCTTGGCTAACTTGCCCATCGAGCATTCCCTTCCTCCTTGTATTTCAAACCCCTGCTCTACTGACTCCTTTCCTTCCCGCCCATATTAAGAGCTGTAGTCAGGGGACTTCCTTGGTGTGGTCTGGTGATTAAGACTGTTCTTCCAAGGCAGGGGACACGGGACTGATCCCTGGTGGGGGAACTATGATTTCACATGCCGTGTGGTGCAGCCAAAAAATAAAACATTAAAAAAAAAAAAAACCTGTCATCAAGCTTTTCCCATCTTCCAACAAAACACAACAAACAGAACCACACCCTTTTCTGCCCACGCTATAGAGTCAGGGCTTGGGAGAGAGGGCTATCCTCACTGTTCCCCCTTGCTTCTTGCTCACTCATCCATCAAACTGCCTGCTCCTGATCACGGGTCACCTCTCCCGAGCATGAAACTGAAGTCTGAATCTTTGTCATGATCAACAGGGATGCTACCTACCAGGGGGGCGTTCGTGGCGAAGGAAGAACCGAACTTCACTCCTCTGACTTCCAAACCGCTGCAGGACGTCGAACATTCGCTCATTATCGGCAACTGGACGTTCTAAAAGAAACGAACAAATCATGTTACCTGGTAACACATCACTTACTGTCTACCCTTCATACAAATTATGCGTTATGAATGAAGAAAATACTATCAAGGACCTTTTTTTAAAAAAAAAAGAACCCTTAGAAAATGAAGTATCACCAGCTTACCACCCACATAATCAGGGTCAAAGCCGGGTGGAATATGGGGGTAGGAAAGGACGGGGTCAGGGCCACTGGCAACAGCTCAGGAGTTGGATTCAGTGGCCCCTCACTAGCTCAAGGCAGGCCGTGAAGCTCTGCAGGTTCCAGAGTTCCTGTCATCTATTTCACACGATGGTCTCTGAGGTCTCTGTTAACTCTAATAGTTCTATGATTCTCCAAGTATACGAACAAAAACTTAAAAACAACTTTCTAAATAGCCTTGTCTTTCTATTGGGGATTTTTTTTGACAATTTTACAAACCATGTTAAAAAAAAAAAAAATCATACACATGCATTTCCAAACAAAAGTCTGTTTACTGCCCTGAAAATATTCCTTGAGACAAAAAAAAAAAAAAAAAGAGGCATAGCTAAATACTCTACTACATGGGAACTGTAATCTTCCAATCTTAAGGAATCTGAACATAAAACCCAAATATACTGTTTGAGGATACCAACAGTTTAAAATCAAAGAACTTAAATCATTTCTAATGTAAGAATGCTGCAATGCCGCCCCCCCCCCCCAAATTCAATGCACTTGTCAGTAATCAAGGACACTGAGTACCTTAAATAAACAACATGGGCACACAAGGGAGCAGCCAAAGGTTCAGCAGTCAATTCTGTGAATAACCCTGAACTTAATGGGCTTGGTGGCAACAAAGTACAGCTTGGGTTCTATTTACAGCAACATGAGGTAATGAGTAGACACAGATACCCTCTTCTCTAAACCAGAGAAAGTCTAAGACTCCCCCAAGAGGAAACACCCTGAGCTGAGCAGATACCTTCCTGAAAGAAATTCTGGGCAGCCCTTCCACCTCCTCACAAAAACAAAAATCATACACACACACACACACACACACACTTTTATTTCAAAAGAAATGAAGTGACCTCCAGTCCATGCAGACCCTCCACCTCCTCACAAAAACAAAAATCACTCTCTCTCTCTCTCTCTCACACACACACACACATTTTATTTCAAAAGAAATGAAGTGACCTCCAGTCCATGTTGAGTGTGGACCTCCTAGGTCTAGAAGCTAAGGTCCTAATGGCCTCCGTGCCAAAACGTATATATCAGACTTAGGCCAGCACAAGCTGAAATACACTTCAAAGGTTCTCAAAGCCACCCATTTACCCCATGCTCCAATGAAACCCATCCCTCGTCCTGGCATCCATGCATATGTGACTTTGAACAAGCCATTCCCAGCACTGAGAACTGTCCCCAGCACCCTCTTCTCCTTCTGCAGATGGAGCACCTCCATCTGTTCCTGAAGTCATCACCCTGTATGAGAGAAATGTCTGCTGATTCCTGCTTTTACTCTGACAGCACAGTTTCATCTTTCTCTTCTTTATAGTCAAGCACAGTTCCTAGCAAATAACAAGAATCCAAGATACGTTCTCTCAGCAAATAAACCAGTGGGGAGTAAGAAAATGGAGATGGCAAATGAAAGCTACCGTTTTTTAAATTTTTACTTTTTGACCAAGCGGCATGTGGGATCTCAGCTCCCTGCAGAGGGATCGAAACTGCGTCCTCTGTGTTGGAAGCACAGTCTTAACCACTGGACTGCCCAGGAAGTCCCAAAAGCTACTTATTTTAAAAGACAGTTAAAGGAAATGGGAAACTTGAGAAGCTAACAAAGTAGAAGTAACAGATTTACTATTTTTAAAATGGCACACCTTGGACAAGTTACAGCAAAAAAAAAAAAAAAGAGGAGTTGAAAACGTAACAGTTACTACTTGTTGAGTGTGAACACTAAATGCGCCAGGGCCTATGCTAAGCCCCCTTCAAATGTCAGCTCCCAGGATTCTCACACAATCCTGTGCAATAGATTCATTTATTATCCCAATTCTGTAGGAAAAAAAGTAAGGATTATAGAGATTAAGTATCTTGTCTGAAGTTATAAAGCTAGTAAATGAAGAGACAAGATGCTGATACCCATGACCTTGCTCTTAATCACAACATCATACAAAGAACCTCTAAATTAATTATGAATTCTCTGCAACCAATCAAAATTCCCAAAGAACTTTTCATGGAAACTTTCAATTCTAAAACATATCTGAAAAAGAAAATATACAAGAACAGTACAGGAGCACAATGAAATAAGCAGCTGCCTTTACAGATACCTAATCTATTAAAAAACTAGAGTAAATTTAAACTATTTGGTCCTCATCAAATTTTTGCATCTGGTCTCATGTCACTGGATATATTACACTCTCTCCTAGGTTATAGTCTATGGGAACCTAAGAGTATGCTACTGCTGTGTAAAAATTGTATAATTCTTAATTATCTTGAAGTGGTTCATAGTACTTTTCAGGCCTACTATATCCTTCTACTTCTCTGTATATTCATTTTATTAATTTTTGAGGGTTTGATATTGAAACTCCAAGTAAAAATTTTATTTACTTAGAAAAATGATTGCAATGTATAGTGGAACTATATGTAACCCTGTTCTATATTTCCTAAGTCTCTGTAAATGAGTTATCATATTTTCATAATTTAAAAATTAAGAAAAATTAAATTAAAAAAAAAACTATTTGGTCCTATCATAAATAGAAGAAAAAAATAAAAGTAACTGGCTGAAGCTTATAGAAACATACTTCCTATGAGATATAACAAGAATATGAAGTGAAGTTTCACATCAGTAAGGAAGAAACCAAGTGTTTTCAATAAAACACTTAAAAAAATTCACTATCCACCTGGGGGAAAAATATTAGATCTCTAATTCACACTAGTCAGAAAAATTAATGAGAAAGAAGAAGGGGAGGGTGAGGAGGGAAGGGAAAAAACTTTAAAACTTAATGGTACAAAACAACAGCAGACTATGTTTCCAGCCTTGACATAAAGAAAAGACTTTTTTAAACAACATACAACTAGGCCTGAGTTCTAGAAGAGTTGTGTTTTTTCTATAACACCGACAAATCAAGAAGGAAAAAGGCAAAAGTCAAAAGAGACATGAGCAAAGACTATGATGAAACAATCTTTTTTTTGTTCCAATGGAAATCCAAGTGGCCAGTAGACAAATGAAAAATGAGCAACTTCAGCATCAGCTTAGCAAAAGTAAGAATTTTATTGTATTAGTATCTTTTTTTGATGAGGGATACTTTTAGAAATGACTGGTAGAAGTGTGAATTTCTACAGCCTTTGCTGAGGGAAATCTGGTGAAATATATTCAAATTTAAAATGTGTGAACCTTTAAGCAAGCAATCCCACTTCTGGGTTATCTACCCTAAAGAAATGTTTGCACATGACCAAAAGGCTCCTACAAGACCTTCTCCTGCAGCATTTATAGAAACAAGAGAATTAATTTAAATGTTAGTGAATAAAGAAATGGTTAGATCAACTGCAGTTTGTGCATAATAGTATGGAAAATTATGATAATTAAAAACAATGGTGTAGAAAAGACCTACAAGAATCAGAAAAGACTAATCAGAAAAGACCTCCAAGCTATACTGTAAGTTAAAGTGAGAAATTGCAGATAGCGAGATGTATGATACTGTTACATGAAGAAAAAAATAGAGAGGACACAAAACTATTTCTATAGTTACAGAGAAAAGTCTGAAAAGTTATCTGCTAAAACTATAAGCAATTATACACCAAGCGACACAAGATGGGCTTGTGGGAGAGATTTCCATTCCATCTGTATTATTTGCCTTACAAAAAAGAATCCATTCATGTGGTCTCTCTTTTTTTTTTTTAATTAAAAAAAAAATAGAAGAAAGAAAATCCTTTAAACATCCTCATTACATAGCAAGGGCTACTGAACGCAAGTGAGCAAGATACTAGAAAGGAAAGGGAAACAGTGGAATCAAGAGTTTCAAGGGAGAGGGTGAGCCTTGGCAAAGGAAGAAAGTCAGAAAGAAGGGTAGGCGCACATCCAGAGGAAGCTGAGGTAAGCACCGGGGGAGGAGAGTGAGGAAGCTCACAGTGCATGTTCTCAATCACTTTTCTTGGGGCAAGTTATTTGCAGAATGCAGGGAGGCCACCAGAGCAGCTAGAAGCTCGTTTATTCTTTCAATAAATATTTACTGAGCACTCCCTCTGAGCTGGGGCACGGCAAGGAATGAGGCAAGCAAGTCTCTCCTCTTAAGGCGTTTACATTCTCGTGCGTGTGTGTGAGGCTATGCGGATTAAAGAGGCAGCAGATTAATAAACACACACAGAAACCAGACAGACACGTCTCATGCACAGGATCAAACCGGGATGATGTAACAGAGAACCTTGTGCCTGCCTTAGGGGGAAGCTCAGAAGAAACATCTCCGAAGAGCCAACGTGTTAGCTGCAATCCAAATGACCAGAAGAAACCAGCAATGACAAAATCTGGGAGTGCAGCAGAAGCAGCTGGCACCAGGGGCTCTGAGGTGGGAAACAGTTTCATTTATCCAGGAACATAAAAACAGCTGCAAGAGGCAAGCAAGGAGGAAAACGGTGCCAAATGACATTAAAGACCTCACAATCTAAAATCAAGACTTTGGATTTTATCCTAAGTAGAATAAAAAAGTTAAAACAAGAAAGTCAAACTAACAAATTTTCATTTAATAAGGATCATTTAGGGGGACTTTCCTGGTGGTCCAGTGGCCAAGACTCCATGCTCCCAATGTTGGGGGCTCAGGTCCGATCCCTAGTCAGGAACGAGATCCCTTATGCCGAAAAAAACTAAAAGATCTTGCAAACCACAAGGAAGAGCCCATGTGATGCAACCAAGACCCGGCGCAGTCAAAAAAAAACTTAATTTTTTTTTTTTTAAACAAAAAGGATCACTTGGGTTTCTTTACAAAAATGAGCTAATCTAGTTCCTATGTGAAGTAAGCAGCTCAGGAAGTCTTCCCGAACACCCAGCTGTAGGAAAATCAACTAAAGATGATTAAGAAGACTCACATGGGAAGCAGAGGGTGTTCGCTGAAGTCACACACCCGTGAACGGTGTGAATGCAATGAACACAGTGGGAAACGTGCACTTAGACAAACTGCACCCAAAGGGGAGAAAAAGGAAACAGTAAGGGCTCACCCAAGCTGTACAGGAATAGAGCAGAACTCGTGAAAAATCACTCCTTCATCTACAAACTCCTAAAGGGCCAAAAAGAAACCAGGCTGTCCCATTTCAGGGCTCCAAAGAACTAAGTAAGGGGTCGATTTCAAGGCTTAAAATAATGTCTATGATTTCACCACTGCCTCCTGCCACCATAGAAACTCAATACCGAAGAGCTCTCCCTAAAAACCTCCAGACTCAGAGATGGCAAGACAATCAGAATGGCTCAGAATGCCTCAAATTTCTAATGAAGTGAAACCACCTAAGCATACCAAAAGCACTTCTGAGCACAGTACATTTTACCCTAACACCCCCAGAAGCTGCCACCCTGTGTATCAGCTGCCTATCCTTTGACCTTTAATACTGTAGTGTCTATGATGTGCTGCGGTAAAAGAGAACAGCAAGAGGACTTTGGAGGAACTTCCCAGGTGGTTCAACAGCTACGACTCCACGCTCCCAATACAGGAGGGCCCAGACTCCTCCCCTGGTCGGGGAGCTAGATCCCACATGCCACAACTAAAGATCCCAAGTGTCGCACTAGGACCCAGCGTAGTCAAAATAAATATTAAAAAAAAAAAAGACTTTGGAGGCGGCAACAAAACTGGACTGAAAGCACGATCCCTGCTAGACACCCTATTCTCCAGTTTCTCCATGGATCAACAGGAGAGGCGCACACCGCCCTCTCTAAAACTGATGAGAATAAAGACGGCACGGCTGAAGAAGACGCACCAGAGCCACACCACACTTCGGCCAGGTGGCAATCGCTCTCGCCAGGTTCTTTGCACAAGTCCACCACGTCTCTGCAGATGGTTTCCGGAGTGACAGGGACTTCTGTGAAGTGCTGCTCATCATTGCTGAGGTACACAGTGAGAAACATCTGGAAACAGAAGGAGAAACACAACGGTTACTAGTACCATCTACCCTGGCGCTGGCCACTTCTCACTTACCTTAGATTCCTCTCCCCGACCGTCTTAACCGAAATGCAAATGCACAACAGGACCAGCTGGCTGTCTCCAGGCCCAAGGTGGAGAGGGGCCCGGCGCTTTGCCAATGGCCCCTGCCCTCCCTCCATCAGCTGCGCCTGCAGAACCCTTGGGGACCCCTGGAGCACAGTAAACAGACTGGTGCACACAAAAGGTCAAGTTAAATCTTCCTCTGACATTTTATTTATGTCATTTGTTTACCAAGACTTCTGTAGTTCTTAATCTGATATGCTGGCCCATACTACAAAGAGATTCTCCCATCAGCCCTGTGAGGATGACCAGGAGATGATGACCATACAAACACATGCTTAATTGAGCAAAGTCTCTTTCGGGAAGGGTACAAGAACAAAACGTGTTGCCTCTGAAGGTGGGGATGGGAAAAGGGGACTGAACTCAGAGGGATATCTAATATTTTATACCACGTACATGTATCACCTGTTCAAACAATTATATTTTCAAATCTAAGATGCTTTAATCAGATTAGATACATACTTTAAAGTATAAGTCAGTGATGGCTCAGTGGTAAAGAATCCACTTGTCAATACAGGAGACACGGGTTCAATCCCTGATCCAAGAAGATCCCACTTGCCTCGGAGCAACTAAGCCCCTGCACAACTATTGAGCCTGTGCTCTAGAGCCCAGGGGCCACAACTGCTGAAGCCCATATACCCTAGAGCCCAAGCTCACAACAAGAGAAGCTACCCCAATGAGAAGCCTGCACAAGGCAACTCAAGAGTAACCCCGGCTCGCTGCAACTAGAGAAAAGCCCATGCAGCAACAAAGACCCAGCACAGCCAAAAATAAAAAAAAATAAATAAAAATATTTTTAAAAAGCTTAAAGTCTTCATCAATAAGGTGTAAGTAGAAATGAATGGCTGTCGTGCTAAAACGGATATGACCTTGTATGTAAACACTCAGGCCAGCAGAAGATTTAGGTCTAAAACTCAGTCTTCCTCCCCATAAAAACAGATACTGTATCTTAAAAATACTGCTACTAAAGAATTCAAGTGTTCACACCTATCAAATAACAAAATAAAAAACAACCAAACAAAAAACCACCATTGTTAATTCCTAGCACTGAAGAAAACTAAGCAAATTAACAAACAAATTGTTGATAAGAATGCAAGTCAGCAAATCCCCATGCTCATTCACTCAGTGAGGATTTACTCTGGGCAGATTAATCTGCATTGGGATTAAAACAAGCAAACGAAACCCAGACAATTTCAAAGTGTAATTCCACTGTGAGCTTTATATTCTATGAAAATAATTCTTATCAAAGAAAGAGAATGCAAAGGTTTTGAAACATGAACTTGATGGACCAGTATACATTCTGTAAAAAGAATTAATGAGACTAAGCCAAACACTGCAGGAGTTTGAGTTTTAAGGCTATAACCAAACAGAAGGGGATTTCCCTGGTGGTCTAGTGGCTAACATTCCAAGCTCTCAATGCAGGGGTCCTGGGTTCAATCCCTGGTCAGGGAACTAGATCCTACATACGGCAAATAAGAGTTTACACACCACAACCACAGATCTCGCATGCCGAAAACAAGATGGAGATTCCCTGTGCTGCAACTAAGAACTGCAGAAGCCAAACAATTTTATTTTTCTTTTAAAGGCAGAATGAGTAGGCTCTACACTGTGATCACAATGACACAAGAATATCACACAAGCCACAGTGCCTGCCCTCAGTCACACGGCATCTCACCCAGCATAAACCTCTCTCCTATTACCCCAGAAATGAGGGTTGCATTAGACTCTTCTTTTTGGGGGCGGGGGGGACGCACAGCAGAAGAAGGGCAGCACCTCACCAGGGATGATGATGGAAACTGGATGAAACAGCAGACTGGCTGCCTCAAGGATCTGGTCTGAGTAAGGGGAGTAGACAACGTGCACAAGAGAAGGCCCACCGGGTCAGTGGGCTCTGCCCCACGGGACTTCCCTGCTCCTCCCTGCAGTAAAACTATGTTTTCTCAAGGTAAGCCAAGTCTCTCCACTTCCTGCAGCTGAAACTCTTAATTCACAGAAACATGTATAACAAAGAAAGTAACCCCCAAAACTGGAAAACAGACAGGAACCCGTTACAGCTAGAAGGCAACTCAGAAACAAATTTTAAAGTGGATGGTAGCGGAAAAAATAAAACGTATCAAAACAAAGCTGTAGAATTTGTCAGCATGAGCTCAGAAGCTTTCAAGCTAACTGCATCAGGTTCTTCACATTCTGATAAACTGTGCTACATAAAGATACATAGTTCTAGGCCTCAACTCAGCCAACAAGGCAGCACTTTAAAACTGTTACACAAAATGAACACAGGTTTCCACCCTGGTGCGACTCTGGATACATATACAGCACATGCAACCAGGGAGATAAATAATTTACACTTTAGTATTAAAGAGTACTCCTCCTCGATACTCCCTACCCACATCTGAACTTTCTCTGAAGTTTAACACTTCAAACATAGGAACTGTTTTCAATGTAAATATGAGACTAAGAGGCACTTATCAAATTATAGAAATATTTAATATACTGTATATATACAAAACAGGCTTTCCCAATGGCTCAGCAGGTAAAGAATCTGCCTTCAATGCAGGAGACACAGGAGATGAGAGTTCGATCTCTGGGTCAGGAAGATCCCCTGGAGGAGAAAATGGCTATCCACCCCAGGATTCTTGCCTGGAAAATCCCATGAACAGAGAAGCCTGGCAGGCTACTGTGCAAAGGGCCGCAGAGTTGGACACAACTGAGCGACTGAGTACACATATATACAAAACACATACTGTATCAACAAATAAGAGGTTATTTCCCGAGATAATAGCACCTTACCTCCTAATCGTCATCTTAGTCCTTTCACACACATTATCTCAGAAACTTACATCAATTCTCAGATAAGCAGAGCAGATATTACTTTCTCTATAAATGAAGCAAAAGACTCATTTATAAAGAGTCTTTATACTGACTACTAAAATGAGACGATGAGAGTACAGTTCTGTTCTTCACCCGTCCTCTATTCTTTCAGCTGTTCCTTATAGCAGAAGAGTATTAGGAAATGCTCTATTTGACCCCAGTAAAAATCCCTGGGAGAAGGGCAAGACAACCCACTCCAGTCTTCTTGCCTGGAGAATCCCCACGGACAGAGGAGCCTGGCGGGCCACAGTCCATGGGGTCGCAAAGAGTTGGACACGACTGAGCGACTAAAGCATACAAACAAACTTGAATAGAGATCACACACAAACAAACTTGAAAACGACGACTTCATTTACTTAAAAGTACAAATTACAGATACGAATGATGAGAAACGTGTTCTAAGATCACCGCATTTTCCCCCCAAAACCCCACAGGATTAACACTGGTGTGAGTGGTGAGTGGACCCCATTCAGGCACGCCTGAAGACAGCTCTGTGGTGACTGTTCTGGGCTGAGTGCTCCCAGGCCGGGCCAGCAATGTGAGCTGCCCCTGACGCCCAGGTGGGAGATCTGGGTTCTTACCCCAGACTTGTTAATCATTATTAGGGAAGTAAAGTCACCTCTCTGAATCCCAGCCTCCTGGTCTTCAAAATAAGAGTCCCAAGTTCCCTGAGAGCTGTCATTTATTTCGGGTGTTTATTGGGTGTCACAGCAAGAGCCAACTTCTTCACAACAGTCCACAACCTGGAAGGAAGTTAGCAATTCAGTCGCAAAGTGAGGACCTGAATGAAGGCAATGGTCAGAGGGGGAAAGAACAGATTCAACAGAAAGACTGGATCTGGTGACTAAATTTTGGGGAGGGGGGATGCAGTGCATAGGGGTTGGTGTGAACTGAACAATTCACAGCAAATTCAGGAGGAAAACCAGACTTGCTCTGCTCTGAGATTACAGTAGCAGCAGGCAGGGGAGGAGAGAAAAGCAAGAGTTTCGTTTGGATGAGCTGACCTGGGACCGCCTGTCCCCACCCCGCCTCCAGCCCTCACGGCCTTCTGACCTTCTCCACACTCCACTCCACCAGCATCCTCCTTGCCGTCCACCCCCTGGAGCCTGTGCATCCTGACTGCCAAGTTTTTGGCTCAAAACCTCCTTGGAGCTTCCGGGGTGGACTCTGAAACTGGCGCCAGGCACGGAGGGCAGGGAGAGACAGAAGGAAGGCAGCCCACTCCGGACTGGCAACTGGCCTTTCACTAAGCAAGGCAGCTTGCTCAGGAGACTGGTCTTGGGGGCTGCAGGGCCAGTGGCTCCCCGACCCTGCCCAACAGAATGGTAAAAGCTTATGGGGAGGGTCCCCCTGGGTTCAGTCTCCAGCCTGCGTCCTTGGGCAGCTTGAGCCTGGGAGAGCAGGCAGGCAGAGGGCACGTTCCAAGGATAGGAAAGTGGGTGAACAGGCTCTAAGTGCCTGGGTCAGCTTGCAGGTCGAGCCTGCAGTCACGTCTTCTTGATGACCTTCCCCGACAAATGTTGTTCCCTGTGTGCCAGCACGGCCTGCCACTCATCTCCCTGGGTCTTGATGCAACAGATTCCTGCCCGGGGAGGCTTTTCCTGGCCATCCTGCCTAAAATCCCACCACCACCCTCAACACGCGCATGTGTGCACCCACATATGCACATGTGCACACATGAACTTTCCCACTTTCTCTCTCTCCCTGGCACAGTGACCAACATACCATGTATTATATTTATTTCACTTGCTTTTACTGTCTTCCCTGCTAGAACGGACGGTCCATGAAGTCCAAGGTTTTGTCTGTTCAATACGGCATCCTTAGCACCTTGAACTGTGCCTGGTTCGTAACAAACACACAGTAAGTGTGTGCTTAGGAATGAATAAATACCGCAGCTATTACTGCACTTGACAAATTCACCTCTGATTTATTTCCACAGTAAGTTTCCCACAGGTATTGACAGAAGGCAGAGCAGACAGTACACAGCACAGCT